GCTTTATGACAGGCTGCAACACTGTTCTTTCTTCAGACCATATTAATGGTTATGGCACATCCCATAAGTTGTAAAACTCATTCTTATCTCTAGCCATGCTGTTATCCAAATGTTCCATGTATGCTTTCTTTGTCCCTCAATACGTCATGTTTCTTTTTTAGTCTCTGGTTTCTGATGCCATAACACATGCACCAACTGTATTCCTTCTTGGCAAGCTGGTTAATGTGCCTCCAGACACCTTTGTATATGTCACTATATATGAAGGAAATGAAGTAGACAGTGATTGGAGGGAACTCTGAGAAGCTGAAGGGTAGGTCTGCCATCCAGCAGGACCTCAGCAAGATAGGGGAAAGCACAGGTAGAAAGCTCCTTAAGTTTATCCCAGACAAATGTGAAGACTTCCTCTCAAAAGTAACAGCCCTGCGTGGCTGTGCTGGTGGACAGGGACCTTGGCAACCTGGTGACCAGCAAATGGCCCTTGGTGAGCAGTCAAAAGTGGCAGTGTCCAGTGGCATTAGTCACAGTGGTGTGTTCTCCTGGCCTGAGGCTGCCCTCAGCAGTCTGTCTGTGGCTGTTTCTGAACTCGTCTGTGAGCAGTTGCTTTGCATCTGAAGGGTGACCCCAAGGTGCAACTGCTCTGGGAGAAAAGGGAGGTGGGGGCAGAGGAAGAGACAAACCAGACCAAGCAGGTGAGCAAGTGTAGCATCTTCTGCATTTTAATTTGCCTTTGCATCACACTACAGGCATAGTCTATCCTCTGATTAATGCCTACTGTCCTTTTTGCTATCTGTCACCTGACAGGCTCTGACATAGAGGAGGAGACATTAATGTAAATCATCAGGTTCATATTCTTATCTTGCAACTACATATCTAATTTCCAGGTTTTTACACTCAGTATCTTTTCTTTTTCAAGCTGTCTTGAAGGTGTAGTGGATGTTGGCTGAAAGGATGTCATCTCTAGTGAAGTCTAAGTTGTGCATTAAGGAGCTGTTCTGCATAGAATATGTGCAAGTAAGAGAGCTGTGTCTTTCTAAGATTTGAGGACAAGACTTTAGAACTAGTGCCATTGAAACTGCAGTGGTATTTCCATGTCATGAGTCCAAATACATGAATGCATTCAAAAGCCTCAGAATGAATAGCAATTGATTTTGTGACTTGTTCCTGTTCTTCTGAAAGTATATTCAATAAATGAATCAAAACAATAAACACATAAGCACACACTATCAGAAGATATTTTATTGTTGGGCTTTTATTATTCTGAATATTTTTAATAGTGATGTATTCTTTCTAGAATTAATAATTATTAGTTAGTTGTCCATAGCACCTTTGACCTCTCCAGTTTGTTGTTTTTCAGCAACTGATTCCAGCCTCCTCATTTTCAGGAACACAGTCTGAAAATGCAGGATAGAATATGATGAATGAATGAGCAAAAGACTAAAGGCAGGGTGTGGCTTCAGTGACAGATTTTGTTTGAAGAGGAGCTAAATTTAAAAGCAATGGTGATCACCACTGTTCTGTGAGAGTAAGCAGGCCCTGCAGACCCCTGTCAATGGCCATGGTGTGTGTGGTGTTCTGGTCAGCAGTGTGCAGTGGATTACTCCAGCATAAATCATTTCCTTAGCTTGTGTCTGCAGCTTCTGGTCTAAGAGTGATCCATTCTTTTTTCAGAGGAGAGTTTATCCATCTTCAATCTGTTTGGTTCCTGGGATTCTCGTTGTACCTTAACCTGGAAGAAAGTCTTTCACTGGTTGCTTAAAGGGAGTGCTGTGATGGATGTCAGGGTTCAGCTGTCCTTCACATATGCTGGGCTGGGTAACTGATTAAATGATCCTCATTCAAAAAGGCTGCAAAGTCAGCTCTTGAGTTTTCTTCCATTATCTCCTGTATTCCTCCTGCACTGCAGCTGTGCAGGAAACTGTATCTAGCAAACTGAACTGTGTTTTAGGGGGGTGGTGGAGGAGAGAAGTCACAGCAAAGAAACACATTCCTGACAGTCCTCATTACAGAGCATGAAGAGTATGGGACACTGCTCATTTGTAAAAGTTGTCCTCCACCCTTAAGCAGCTGTTCTGGTTTTGTGCGTTGCCATGCAGGATTTTAACATCTTGGGAAGCCACAGATGTTTGACTCATAAACTGGACCTGATTTGATCCTTATTCCTATTGCTGGAGCCTTCTGGCTGAGATCACTGTGACTCAAACCTTGCTCCCAGCTCCCACTTCACTAGGGAGCAACAGTTTTGTTACATGTCAGGTCTGGTACTTGATCCTCAGCTGTTTCACCACCACTTCCTGTGTTTATAGCTGGACAGTGGGGCTTGGCTGTGGACATGACATTTACTCAGAATTAGGACAGTTTTCTGTGAACTTTGTGCCTGACACAGATGTTTCAGAGAGAAATGCACGTTTGCATTCTGTGGCTTCAAAAAGTATTAAATTAAATAAAACAAGGGTAGCATTAACATTGCACGGTTCAGATCAGCTGTTTTTCATGTATCCTGTATTGCTAACCCAGGATGAAGACATGAAGACAATTTTTGTGACTAGGGGGTACATAATTGGATGTATATACTATATTCTGATAGTCTGAGGACATCCTCTCCATGTTTTGGTGATTGCAATCCAGTTTTGGACTAATATCTGTAAATATGTTTGCATGATAATAACTTCTAAGATTTTATGTGGTGGAAACAGTAAAGTAATCATTTCTGTGCAAAGAAACAAAGAATTAAAGTGGAGTTTGCCTGGAACCCTACAGCTGTTCAATCTGTATCCAGATGTAGGGCCCAGATATGCCCTCTATCATATGGCAGTGGTGGGAAACAGGCCAGAGAATCAGGCTGGTGCCTCAGGGGCCTGTGGCATTTCAGAGAGCTGCAATAAATTGGGTGGTGGTGGGATGTATCTTTCCTTTCTCTTATGATACCCCTATCTGCTTTGCTTTATACTTCTTTTTGCTTGATCTACCCTTCATTGTTTCAGTTTCTAAATGTTCTGCTGGTACTTCCATTTGAGCTTATTCTGTCTTAAAATTTGCCTCTTGGAATAGAGGTTTAATTACTGAACAGATGTGTTGTCTTTATTCTGCCTGCTCTAACTGCCTTTATCTCTGTTCGTTTTGAATCTTAGATTTTTAGCTCATTAAGTCCTGTGGAGCTAGAACTCTTCTGGAGTTAAAGACACAAAAAAATAATACTCTTATCAGATCTTGCTGCAGTTCTGTAAACAAGCTACTTAATTGTGCTTTTATGTTAATGCCAAAAAAACAAATAAAAATTTGTTGCACTGTGGTTATAAACAAACTAATACAAAATTGCAGTCTAAATATTGAGATGCTTTTCCTTCCTTTGGGTTTTGTTATTTTTTAATTCTCTTTAATGCTTTCTGAAACAAGATTAACTAGAGACTTAAGTGGAAATGAATCAATTATGAAAGAAAATAAAGAAACTAAATGAGAAATTGATGTTGCCTGAAATCCTTCATGGTCTGAAGCTAGCTAAGAGGGAAAAGCCAAAATATAGCTGCAGGGATTGCTTGGATATAAAACGTAGGACATAACTGTGGGAATGCATTGAGGTACAAGAGCTGGAATGCAACTATGTGTAGTGAAATCTGCAAAAATTGGGAATGTTATGTTCAGTGTTCAAGATCTGCAAGCAATTGGCAGCGTTTTTCAGAACTGTTCTTATAAAAAAAACTGCTTTTCCTGAACTTGGGGCCTGATCCAGTCTTTTTTTTTTTTTTTTTTTTTTTTTTTTTTTTTTTTTTTTTTTTTTTTTTTTTTTTTTTTTTTNCTCCATTTTTACCTCCGGGTATTTCCTCGAGGTTTGGGGTTGGGGTTTTTGTGGGTTTTTTTTTTTTTTTTTTGTTTTGTTTTGTTTTTTTTTTTTTTTTGTGTTCTTGGCTTGTACTCATGTGAACTAGAATGGAATTAGCAAGAGACAGTAAAGCTGTGGTTGTGTGTAGTTTCTCCTCAGTGGTATAAAGTTGGCTTAAGAATTTCCTGCTCCAAATCATTCTTCCCTGCCTATATAATTTTTTCCAGGAAGAGCTGGGTTTTTCTGTAGGACCGAGATGTGAAATGTCTGATCCAATTTTCCAAAAAACATTTCAGAAAACTTCCTATTACTTTTTTTTCCCCAAGGCAGGCTACTACTGGTAAACAGTGTGGCTCCATGAACAGTTATGCTGGAATGACTGAAAGAATGGGCACCCTGTGATGGCACCAGGGGCTCTCCTTGCCAGAAATGAGTCCATTTGGCTCTCAAGGCAACAGCCTGATGAAGCAGCAATGTTCATAGACTCAGAACAAAGAGTCATCCATCCTCAGTCTCCTGTTTTTTCAGGTAGCAATAATGAAGGAGGCGTACAAAGAAACATGAGCTTAGAAGCAAAAAAAAAGAAAAAAATTGTGCTTTAGCAACTTTAGCAATGCTCCATGAAAGCAGCTTTTACTGGCAAGTTAAATTTGACTGGCCTGGAAAATTTGACCAGAGGTAAATGATCTAATCAAGTGTGCCATCCAAACTCCCTGCAGGTTAATTGACCCATGGAAAGTGTTGTTTTTTCTAATCTCATTGAAAGGTTATTTATGAAATAGCTGCCCTATTTGCAGGTTTGAGCCAGGAGGTCACCAAAAGAGTTAAGAAAATTCCCTCCAACTTTCAGTTTCTTTCCTTTGTTGTTAGCTTCAAACATATAGACTTGTCTATGCAAGAACAAAGAAACCTATTTTGGTGTGACAAATATTAGGATTAATAAAATTTGATCTCAAATCTTTATCAATAGGCAACATTTTAGCAGTGATGTAGTTTTTCTTCTTTATACCATAAAATTTCCTGCAATTCTTGTGGTTCTTTAAAATCTGTGCTGTTTTATAGGTGAAATTTAAGTATTGTCACGGCAATAAATGAGTTAAATGAATGTGTGTCTGCCCCTTCTCCCCAGATTCAGAATATTTTTGCTTAAAATTTTAAAGGAAAACCTCTTTTATGCATGCAGGGCAGCTTTAGAAGAGGTAGAAGGAGATGTGACGGAGCTGGAACTGAAACTTGACAAGGTAAGTTTGTAATTCAACAGTGTTTATTCTCAGAAACATCAGACCGTGTGTTTCGGTTTTGTTTTAAAGTTCGCAGCTGGGAAGTGTCAGTGGTCCACCAAGCCCCTGCTCTGCAGAGGGAAGGGATCCAGGTGGAGCTCCCAGCTGGCCTCGGAGGCCAGGCTGGAGCAAAGCAGCCCCGGGCAGCTGAACTCAGCTGAACCCGCTCCTTCCCGGGCTGGGCCTTCCTTGTGCAATTCCCTCCTGGCTGGCCCTCGCTGCGCCCTGTGACTCAGCCCGGGAGCTGCGGCAAACTCCTTCGGCTTTCACGGGAGATCAAAGCCGGCCCTTGGTCATTCTGCCCCGAGAGCCTGTGGCCACAACGGCTCTCTTGCTGTGGGGACATCTGGATACTCTGCTTTAGAGGTTTAAAATCCATGCTGCTTGGTAATCTGTGGCACAGCAGCCAGGTATATGTATATATATATATCCTTCACTGTCTGTAAAATTTATCCTGTGTTTTGTCATGCTTTGTGCATGTATACAAAAAATGATACGTAGCTTCTTTTCAACTCCTTAATAATTGTTCGTTGGTTTCCTCACCTTTGGAAACTTTTGTTATTTCTTTGCTATTATTTTGAGAGTGGCTTATTTTTGGTTTTCATCTGTATAAAGTCTTCTTTCCTTTGCATTTGTCTAAATGTTTTAAATTATTTTTATCTGTGTTTTCACATGGCAGGCAGGTGGCATTTGTTTACCTCCTTAACTGCTTTTTGAATACAACCTTTTTTCCTACAGCTGTGAGTTGACTGCAGAGAGCTGGAGACAAATAATGATGGTGTCAAGCTTGAAGACTTTTTCTTTACTACTTGTAATAGTATTTCTAGTTTTTAGTAGCTAATAATCTAACAATTTGCTCTTGCAAAATAAATTCAAAATTATTCAAAATAATTTTGATTTGGTGTGAATCTTCGTGAAAGTTTTGGGTGTAACACACATTTTTACTGTAGGAATGTTGAATCTGTTTTGGTAGATCAAACAGTGTAAGTATTTAAATGATCTGAAAAATCAAACTTGAAAATTTGGCTTTTCCAACAGTCTGAAAGGATTGTTTTTGGGGAAAAGAATTCTCATATTCCTTAAATGGCATTATTCAGGGCCCTGTAGTACAATACTAAAGTTGAAAGCTAAGCTTCTTGGGTGAGCTGAAGCAAGTATGGCCTGAGGGTAATAATATGTCTAGGCTTGGTTGGTAATTTTTTCTGATCAGTTGTTCATACTAAACTTGGTTTTATTGTCTCACAATTTTGACTTTGGGCTACACTGTCTGCAGTTTTGTGCTCTCTGGAAGAAAGCAAGCCTGGTTCGGGCTTGTGAACTATAAGCAAAGGTGAAGGGAAAAGGTTAATATTAATAGTGCTTTGTTTTTCTGTCCATTGTTCAAGGAACTTGGACATTCATAATATGGAAGATCATGCTTAGCTTTCCATTTTTCCTAAGGATCTGAGTCAACATAAAAATTACTGGATAACTAAGGCAGGAAGGATGCTTGGATGGTTTCTTTGCTGCAACATAGGATCAAATGCTTCTGTGTTGCTTTTCATGAAAATTTATTTACCATCCTTGAAAGATCTTTCAGAGATGAAGGTATGAAGGTTCAATCTTCTGGTTTTAGTCTCAGCTTGGTTTAACGTGGGGGAACTCAATCCTAATGTGCCCCATCTCAAGAGAGCATCATGGCAATTGCAGTAACCACTGTCTCTTACGTTAATGGCCCAGTGCATAAAGGTTTAAGAAGTGGGAAAACATTCATCACAAGATACTGAGGACCCTCCTATCAGACTGCAGTACCATGAGGCCTGAAGCAGTGAGTGGTAGAGATGGAAAGCCATCAGAGATTAGTCTGTATGTGAGTTGGAAGCATGATGGATTTCACCTCCTGAGATGTAACCATGGCTCTTCAGCTGTGCTTTGTGCACAGTCTTTGCTTTCCTGTGCCTGTATTCTGAGTGTCTCAGGATGAAACAACTGGGGTGGGTTTTATTTTTGTTTGTTTAGTGGTGTTTTTCCTCAGAAACAACAATAACTTCATCATTTGCTTGGGTTCTAAGCAGTTATGTTTTAGTTGCTGTACTTTTTGCCCGTGTAAAACTCTCTCTTGAAATATGTACAACATGCCAGTTAACAATAAATCAAGTAAAAACTAATTTTAAGTTTCTAGAGTGGTAGGTTTCCCAATAGCATATCTATTGACCTAGAGTAGTATTTTTATAGCTGTTACTATACAGTAGAAAGCTTTTCATAGAATCTGAGGGTGAGAACGTTACTTTTGAAATTTTTATTTTGTAGCCTTAACTAAGCTCAGTGTTTTCATGTTTATATAATGGTGTAAAAACCAAATCAAAATAAGCCTTCTGCTTTCTCTCTTTTTATACTCATTTCAGCTGGTGAAGCTTTGCATTGCAATGATTGATACTGGGAAAGCATTTTGTACAGCCAACAAGCAGTTCATGAATGGAATTCGAGACCTTGCACAATATTCCTGTAAAGATCCATTGGTTGAGGTAAGTTCTTTGAGGTGAAAGTGGAGGGAGAGAAACAGAACTTAAAAAAGGTACAACATAAGAGTTGGCAAGATAAGTAGTTGAAGTTTATAGTATTTTCTGCTTTTTCTTTACTATCTCTTTTAGAATGGAGGTTTTTCCAGCTGTGGTGCGCTGCAGGCGTCTGTGCTGTTTAGTTTCAGCAGTGACATGGGTCTGCCAAATTTCAGAAAATTATTATTATTATTATTATTATTATTATTATTATTATTATTATTATTATGTATACTGGTGATTGCAACATGTTAACCTGTTTTTTTGAGTAAGAGTGTTAAATATGAAAAATATTAATTACTGTAATATTAAATATTGTAAATTAATGTTATAGATTATGTGAGCTTCCCATATCTTTAGTAAATTTGAATTTTTCCTGCTTTTCTTCAGTTTGGTACTTTATATACAGGTAGGTAGAAGTAATATTTTTTTAATATATTTATTTGCTATTACAGTTGTGTTCTCCTTCTAGCCTAGTGGTTTTAGTCTCATAATAGTGCTATAAGGAAAAGCACTAATTCAGTAATGAATTTTCAAATTATTTACTGAAAAGCTATAAACCTCTAAACTGTTTCTTTTGTGCTGTGTTTTTAGTAGGGCTTAACTTTAAACCACTTTTATTTTCTCTCTGTAGACCAATTTGATGAAGTTCTCTGACACCTTACAGGAAATGATCAATTATCATAATGTGAGTATTTCTAGCTGTAACATGGCACTGATAGCTCACCTCCAGTTATTTTTTATAATAGATTAATGGTAAAGCCTTTCTTATTGATAGTGTTTGCAAAATAATGGTTTAAATGGTGTTAAATAACTCTTGTTTTATACTTATAAATATTTTATTAATGTTTTGTTTACAAAGTATTGATAATTATCCACTTTACTGCCAATTTCCATCTTGGTTTATTTTTCATTTGGAATTTGTAAGCTTTGGTGCTCTAAGCCAGAAAATACTGGATAGTTTCTTCTTTTTGAATTAGACTGATGGTAACAGTTACAGACTATGAGCTCATACCTTTGCTGGTCTGAAATAAAGATTATCTTTTCCATAGTTGCTACTTTTTCCCCCTATTCTTTATAATACACAAAATGAAACACCTATGATTTGCATATAGTATTCTTTTTGGAAGGGTAGCAGATTTAGGTAAATATGGAGAAAGGAGAAAATGCTAGGATTTAAGACTAATTGTAATTTTTAGCGTGTCAGAGTTAATCAGAAATGTCAGCTTTCTCTGGTTTGAAAATTAATTTGTTATCTTTTCCTTTAAAGACATTGTTTTTTTATTCAGAAGTTTGTTGTTCTGTTTTTTTCCTCTTTCATTGGCCCAACTGCTCTTTGTTAATTTCCCAGGAAATTGCTGGAAACGAACTGAAGTGTCTCCAAAGTGCTGAAAATATGCAGGACAATTAAAATATGGGGTTTTCATACCACTGGGAGTTTAAAAATTGACAAGATAGAGAGAATGGAATGGAAGTTTGCTAGCTTTAATTTAGCTTTCTAAAAGTGTCTGATTAGGTGTTTTTGGTTTTTTTTAACGCATGCTTTTAAAATGGAAGGGAAGCAAAACAAAGCAGATTAATAGCATTGTGTTTGATTTTCTTTCCATTATACCAAGGGTACATATTTACAGCTAATCTAATGAAAACTGTAAAAAAGGGAATAAGTGAACAGTTGTTCTTGGGTTGTAGAGAGAAGGGAGTGCAAAGGTTCAAAGCAGCAGTACTGGAGCAATTATTACTTTCATGTCAATAATTTCTGCAGGTGAACCCAGGCTGCCCTTCATAACACATCTTGGTGCTGTAATCCCTCTTAACCATGTATTTTATCTATGGCTTGCTCTTTTGGACACCTTTGACATAGGTTCTGTATTATTGCTGCTGTTGTTCTACATGACAGTGGCTTGCACTGCTTTGGTAAAAGTTGGCATAGCGCAACTCTTCCTTTTGGGCAGTTTGAAGGCAGAAAGCAAAGAACAAACCATATTAAAGAAGATTTCTTTTCAAATCTAAGTAGGACCAATCTGACTTCTACCCTGCTTTTTTTTCCCCCTCCATGCCCTAGCTGTGCTCAGGCATAGTGAGGACAAAGTGGCTTTTACCAAAGGCACAAACATCAGGAATGAGGCACAATTGGTTTGCCAGACCTGTTGTGGTCCTGCACTGCTTTTTGAGAATCTGCTTAGTTCAACAGGGCTTTGTGGCCCAGAGTGACAGGCCTGTTGCTCACCAAGGTGACAGAGCCATCAGGAGGGAGAAGCTAGAGGAAGAAAGAGGAAAGGAAGGATGGAAGGGGTAGGAGATGGATGCTCCCACTGAACTCTGGATGACTGGCAGTTTTTTCATATGAGGTTTTGCTACAAATAAGGTCAGGGACCAGACTAATGCAGCATCTTCACTGATTCAGCAGTGGGGGAGTAGCTGTGACAGCTTATGGCAAATAGCAGTTTTCTTAGACTTGGAGTGTATGAAAGGTAGTATGTTGACAAGGCTGTAAATCTAATCAGATCATGGTCTGGGTGCTTCTTTCTGTTCTTGCAGGGGAAATGATGTCTATATATTTTTCTGCCCAGCACATTTTTTCTCTTCATTACAGTAAGCAGAATGCAAGGCTTATATTTCTGGGAGTCCTCTAAACATTTGAGTTCCCATCTGGTTTTATCTTTTGGTAGTGATCTTGATTGGTGCACTCCCCAGGCACTGGCAAGCTTAAATGTCAGCAGTGGGAGTAGTCTCAGCCTGACTTCCAGTTTGTCAAGAAGTTCTTTATACTAGTTGTCTGCTTTTCTGGTTTCCCAAAGTGGGAATACAAACAGGTTCTTCCATGTGTTACTAGTAGATACAATTCTGGTTGGAAGGGGCTTCAGGAGGTGTGGATGGTTTGACTGTCTGCCTAAATCAGGCTCAGATATGAGGTTGAAGCAGGTTGCTTTGGTCTTGAAAACCTTCAAGCATGGAGACTGAATGCAAGGTACAGTACCACTGCTAATGAATGGCTTAAACACAGGTTCTCAAAAAGAGAGATGAGCTGGTAAAGGTTTTGCTGTCAGTACTTGGCATTGCATGGCTTCCCATTTCCAAATCTTAATAAAGAATCTAAGATTCAGAAGATTTAAGGAAAACATTTTTTGACCTTAAACTTGGAGGTTTTGGCTTGCTTTTTCAAGAAAATTATTTAATATTATAAGATTTTTACCTTTTATGAGAGATTCTGTTCAACTGGACCAACTTTATTTTTGTGATGCTGCCTTGTGTATTTCTGTTATGCAGAATTGGAGGTCTATCGGGGTTGAAAATTGAGGCAACATTTTTTGTCTGCACAATAAGAAGTGACAAAAGGATTTGTCCAGTAGCCATTGGCCTGTTCCACTCCATCCTAAAACTCAGAGGGCAGATGAGAAGCTGGAGGAACGTGTGTTTTCATTTTCCAGTTAGAATTTTTTGGGTCATAAGAGAACATACAAATTGTCTCACATCCAGGTGTGCTTTGGCCTTAAAAAATTAACAAATATCTTTACAATTCAAATTAGTTGATTATATTTTGTGCCCCTAGCCTTCCCAAATCATAAGAAATTTTTGAACCATTGCTTAGATCACTTATTCTTATAAATATTCAGCCATTCTTTTTAGTAGTCCAACAGTGAGTGTTTTACAAACATTTCATGTAAGGGAGATGGTACTGAATACTCATGTATGGTATATTTTCAATCCATGCATTTCAATCCAAGCATTAATTTCAATCCATGGTTTTGGGGTTTTTGCCAGAAGTGCATGTTCCTTCTATGGTGTCATTTGTTTTTTAATTGTTGATAAATTGTGAAAGTTTAAGAACAAAAAAAATTATTCCTTAACATTAATGTTCCTGAAGAAACAACTTTGTACAATTAACATCAATAAACTTCTTCTATGAAACTAGGCACATCTCATATTGTCAGGATGAGAGAATAAGATGCCAGGAGCTCTTATCTCTCCTTATAACCACAGTCTTTAAGAAAAGAGCAGCAAAAGATGTTTGGTTTGTGTTATTTTCCTTATTTTCTTTCTTTTATTTATTTCAAAACTACTGTGAAGGGATTTATATTTTGATATTAGGGACACTGTAGTATAATAATAATTCTCATGTAATTCTGCCTAACTGCATTTGTATTTCTAAAATCAGAAGGTATGAGTACCTCTAAGTTACTGACCTACATAATCATGCTTTCTTTCAGATTCTATTTGACCAAATCCAAAGATCAATTAAAACACAGCTTCAGACCTTTGTTAAAGAGTAAGTCAATTTGCACTTGTAATGGGAAAAATATATATAAAATGGAAACTTAAAAATCTGATTTGAGTGCGTGTGTGGAACATCCTTCTGTAAATAGTCACCCATAAATTGAGAAGTGTGTATTAAGGTTTTGTCAAAAATCACCCCAAATCACTGAGGCTTTAGATCCAGCTGCAGAAATGTTGCAATAGGATGAATTAGTGATCTAATTACATGTTATAATTGTCTAAGCTTGGGGGACAAAGCTTTTTTCCAGTAGGCATTAGATGTGTTCAGTTACATTTTAGTTTTGTCCTTTCCTTGGAAAAGAAAGACAAGGAGCTTCTGTCATAATTTGTGGATTTCCATTTGACCCAAGCATGTATTGAAGAATACAAAACTTGAAAAAGACACCAGCTATAGCAGTCACAAGCTTGGTCTGTCTGGTGTAGGTTTAAACTCTTTTTGATGCTTTGGAATTAATTTGTCATCCATATTTCCTAGAGATATTAGGAAATTCAAAGATGCAAAGAAACAGTTTGAAAAAGTGAGTGAAGAAAAGGAGAATGCTCTGGTGAAAAATGCCCAAGTTCAAAGAAATAAGCAACATGAGGTAGAGGAAGCCACCAATATTTTGACTGCAACACGGAAGTGTTTTCGACACATAGCTCTGGATTATGTTCTTCAGGTAAGGACAGCAATAAAAGTTACTTTTCAAAACCATTTGTTACATATGGTTAGAGACATGTCCTTTACAATGTTAGAAGTTGTTTTTGTAAGCTTCTTAGAAGCTGTGGAGATTCAGAGAAAAAGGAAGAACTTTATTTCCAAGTAATTAATTTTTTAATAAAATCTGATGAAAATTAATTGATGCATTGCTATTGCTTTAATGCTGTGGTATTCAGTGCTCTTGCTGCAATGACGCAGTTTAATTTTCAAGTTGAACATTAATTTTGAAAAAAAAAAAAAACCAACAGTATTTGCCTGATACCTAAATATTTAATGAGTTAGATATGCTGCAATATTTTAATATATTTAAAGTAAAAACTGTAAGCTAGCCTAGGAAATAGAAATTACCTGAATAATTCTCATACAGGATGTTTGGTATTTCTGCAATCTTAGCTGTATGTTTTGGGTTGTATTCATCTTGTCTAGATGCCTCAGAGTTTGGCGTTGTACTCTAAGGGGAGTGAAGAACTTAACTATCCTTTACCTTTTTAGTGAAGATCTCCCACAGGATATTGAAAGGTGTTCTTTGTCATGCTGCTTTGAATTCTGTAATACAGTAATAAATTTTCTTTTGATATGTAAAATTCATCTGCTTCATACTTACAACTACAGAAAATAAGATTATTGCAATTCAGATGGTGTGAGAGGTTGGGGACTCCCAAATGGGTCTGAAATTCTCCTATAATCAAAAACAGAACAGCTCTTTACAATTAAGTTGGTTTTATATTACACATTATCATCTTTATTGTGACAGTCCAGTCAGTTATTTAAAGGTTAATTAACTTCTCTATAAATTGCATTATGAGTTGTAAAATGAAGTGGAGCCTGTGAGCCTGGGCATGTTCACAGACATGGTGGTCAGTGGTCAACTCTGAACTCCAGCTTTTTAAACACTAAGGTCATTTTGGTGTTTGAAAAGTTGTGTGAATTATTCCCCACAGGATTATTTGTAGTAGCACTAAATGGTGGGGGCAGCTGGCAGTCACTACTGTAGTAGGCCAGTTCCTTGTGTGTGCTTTGAACTGCAGGTTGTTTGCCTCCTGGAATTTTTATGTTCAAAGTATGAGCAGTTCATGGGATAAAGATGCATTTAGAGTAACTGGGAACAGTTTCAGTATCTTTCAACACGGACAAAAATCAATTAATCTTTAGGAATTGTGTCTACTTGAGTGATTCTTCTGGGAAAATGCTTCACAAGAGTTGTTTCCTTGTAGCTAGATTTGCTGTAGACGGTAATTCAAAACCTTTGCTTTCCTTTTATTTTTATTTTTCTTTGCCTCACAGACTGAGGGTTTATTCTGTACAAGCAAATCTTAATTATTTATGCTGGAGAAAGTTTTCCAAAATAATGACCACTTAAGTGTAGAAATAGAATCTGGTTTTGATTATAGCTTCAGTAGGTTTATTTATTTTGCTGAAATTCTAAACTGACATTAGAGGTGTTAAGTTACAAAATCATGCCTGTTTCTGCTAAGTGAGTCTTTTAAAGTAAAATCTGTAGTTCTGGATGGCAACCTTTTAAGATTAGATAAAGAAGATAGGGGAACTAGGTGAATGTGAAAAATTGGTCACTTTTTCTAATAATGTGGAATTCCTCAAGTTCTAGGGCAGCACCATTAATCAGTGACTTCAGCTGGCTTAAAAGCATAGGTATACACAAAAAGTTAGTGATTGAAACTATGATGTTCTTGCTTGCCTATTTATTATTAAGTATTTTTGGGATACATAAATACTGTGAGTCTGAGGGGAAAAGTAACCCTGCCCCCATCCTTCACTCTGCCCTGGCAGCGGTGTAACTTCTCCAAGGAGTTGGTGGGCTGGCTTAGCTCATCTGCTTGAAACATCTTGAATTCAATCTCTTGAAAATGAGAACAAATTTTCCTTGAAAGGTGTATTATATTACTTCTAGCAAGCAAGTTATGTCCTGTATTTTTCCTACTGATATAAGAAAATTGTGACTATCACCATGAAACTCAAGCTTTTTAAGTGTTCTCTGATCACATCACATTGATGAAATGACAGAATTAGAGTGCATGTTCTTTGAAAAGTATTTTGGGAAGTCTGATATTGAGCTGTCATCTTGCAATGTTTTAAGCTTGGATGTGATTATTTGGGGGAAAATGGAAAATAAAATTACTTTAGAATAAAAGGAATTGCTTGTTTGTTCTTTTCTCCTAGATCAATGTTCTTCAATCAAAAAGGAGAGCAGAAATCTTAAAATCGGTAAGGTATACTTTATTCTCTGTATATTAAATATTTTAATCCATCCAAAATTAAAAATATGATCACAAAGCAGTATCTTAAAAATTTAGTCCTTTTATTTATCAAAATGTTATCAGTACATTTGGCAGTTTAGTGACTGTCAGTTTGGCTTTTATTGTAGCTGAGCATACATGTTTAACTGGTTTTGACAATCTGGTTCAGACTTGAACACTTAGTAGATTTTCACTACTCTTGATCCTTTGGTATGTGTCCCATGGTTAAAATCAAACTTTGTTTGCTGTGAATTCTGCTGTTTAGGTCTGATTTATTACTTTGTAAACAGTAAGTGCTACTTATAATCTATTCTAAGATGAATTCTGTTCTTTCTAAGAAGGGGAAAATTTTAATATTAATAGTATGGTATCTGCTAAATTAATATAAAGCTGTACCATTAATATAAAGCTGCATGCCAATTTGCTTCACATTGTATTCCTTTTTCTACTTCATATAATCTCTGTTGAAAGTTTATTGAGATGGAGAGTGACAAATTAAACAGTGCTGTTCTTTCAAATTTGTTGAAGTTGCTCTCCCATAATTTTCTTAATTCCTTAAAAAGCAGAAACTTTACTTTGGGTAGTTTATGACTGCCTGCTATTCTGCTCTGCACCTTCCCAACTTATTTTCTAATTTAAGGCTGGACAGTATTTTCAGCTATGCTATAAAGCTTATGGGTTTGGATCATTAGTAAAATATTCTATAGCCCCTTTCATGTCACAGTTAAAGAGAGATAAAAATTTCAGGTGACATGAATTAGAAGTAGTTTTCTGTCATTAAGTAGATTTCTTTTGTTTTGCTCGAGGAGTTAATGTGATCAACTGATTTCTGAGGTTTTTGGCTTGGTTCTGTTCTTGCTTTACTTTGCACATTTATTTTACAACATTGGAAGCTCTTTGAGGTATTGATGTAAAACTGTCAGGACATGAGAGGAGAAATGAAACCTGAAATTGTAGGTTATGTGAATTAAGTGACATATTTATGTTATATGTGATACAATTTTTGAGAGAATAAATATGTACTTTGTTCCTTCTAGATGTTATCATTTATGTATGCACATCTGGCTTTTTTCCATCAAGGCTATGATCTGTTTAGTGAACTTGAGCCCTACATGAAAGAGCTTGGTGCACAGGTAACAAATTATTTTAAAACTGCATAACTATATGCTGAAATTGAAAAAATCTGGATATATGCCTGCATATCAGGTACTTCATAGATTTATTCAACAAAAAGGGAATTGTAGTATGATACAGGCAAAACATTAAAAATATACTGTAATGAAAGGAATTAAAATAGTTACAAACTGAAAGTTGTCTATTTACTAAAATTAATACTACCTTTAGGATTTACATACCTTAGCATAATCATGTACTGCTCTGTGATGCACATTGTGATATTCAGGATACTGGATTATTTGTTTGTGTATGACCTATGTTTATAAATATACCTAATAATAAAAAGTAGATTAGGCTGGTTTTCCTTCTACTCCTATACTTTATTTTCTGTATAACTTATGCAGTCTGCATAATTAAATTTTGATGTGTGTAAATATAGCTTTGATGTTAGCAACTTAGACCATTAAATGGAAGTATGATTTTAATAAGTAGTGAAAAATACAGTTCCTACATGGAATCCTTCTTGCCCAGTTTTGTTGTTTAAGAACAGACAATTGACACTTCTGGCTTCTCATGAGTGAGGAACTCATGAAAAGCTTAGATGGACCACTGCCAACTGCACACAGGAGAGAGACATTGAAAATGGTTATGCAAATAGATTGGAAAATACAGTATTGAAATGAAGATCTGTCTGTGGTGCAGGAAGAAGACTCAGCAGTGTCTTGACTTGCTTTTCAGTGCAGGTTATATGAGCACTTTCTATCTGCCTCTACCTGAGGACTTGCAACAAATGCGCTGATACAAACCCCTCTATTGCCACTTCCCAAACAGATCCACAAAGGAGCCAACCAGATTTTTAAGGGTCTGTCCAGGTAAAAAAAGCAAATAAATGACCGCAGACTTTAACATTCATATTGAATAGATGTGTCATTGAATGTCTAAATTGTTCTGAGCTACACAGTGGAGCAGACTGGGAGCTGTAGAAAATAACTCCAACAACCCAATGGCTGAATAGTTATTTTTCTGCTAAACTAGGCCCCAGTTGTCTTAATTATGTGTAGAGACATGTCAGGTCTTGATGTAACAGGGGCACCTGAACAGTTCAGGTGGATGTTACTCTTCCATAGTTGTGCCCTTTATTCTTCAGCACCCTTGCAGTTTGGGTTGCACGTGTTGAACTGTTGTGTCTGGCTGTGTAACACGTGTATTCTGTACTTCTGTGGAAGAGGGGATAGGGAAAGGAGACACAAACTATGGAGTTGATAGTGGGTTATGCCATCAGCCAGGCTTCAGTGTTTCCATTTCATTGACGTGATTTGAGCAAGAAAACACAAGGTTATTTTTGAATGTCTGGTCATGCTTTTGCTTGATCTGGTAAAGAGCACTGTGTAGCATTCATTTTGGTGCTGGTATCATAGCAACTGAAGGAGTTAAATTTAGAAAATCCATAGCTAAGAATGTTTTAAATATATTGCATTTGGAGCAAGATGGACTGAAGACCCTAAAGTTGTACAACTTGCAGAATTGTTCTTTTGTAGGAGACCTGGGCATTTAAGTAATGGATATTTTTCATGACAGAAGCGGATTTGTAAATAACTGTTGAAAGTTTTAACAGTTGATGGCTTTGCAGCTAGTACTGTTTGAAGCTTCTGCCTTTAACAAAGTATGTTGTGACATAACGGGGATTTGCTGGATTTTTGTGAAAATGCTGTTAGATTCCTTCTGTTGGTGAGTCAGTTTTCATTCCTAGGTGAATTTTGTGTATGATCTTAATTGCAAGGGTTAACAGCACCTGAAGTAATAAAATTTATCTTAAATAGTGTAGTTATGATTTTGAATTATTTTTGTCTGTATTTTCAGAATAACTGTTTTATTGTGATGGAATAGTATTAAGCAATTTTGCTTTCTGGATACTTCAGGTCAGGGTAGGATCCCTAGGGATCCCTTGGGAATCTTCAATAGTGTGCAATCATAATGAGCTTTTGCATGGAAACTGTGTTTTTTTGGTTCTTTTCATATGAAATGTGGTATTAGCTTAAAAAGAAGACATTTGAATTTTCATTGAGAACACTACTCAAAAAGCTAAATATTGTAGTCTGACTTCATTCTCCTCAGAATGCCAGTTAGAGCATTATGTTTATAAAAATACATTTTCCAGTAAATGCAGTAGTTTGAAAAACCTAATTTTCTGAAAATTATTCAGTAATGCTGTAATGACTGAGATTTTAATAATTTAGTTGTGATTTGCTACAGCTTTTGATAGTTATATGCTGTTGGTCTCTTCTAAGATAATTGATGTGCTGCTCACCTGAGTGAATAGGAACACACTCTGGTTTGAGCTTGAAAACAAGAATGGTGCAATGCTGTCTTCATAGTAAAAAAAGTAACTGATGGAATGAGTTACTGTTAAGAATTTTGTTTTGGCTGTGGTAAATGTACCCTCAATCACTTGTATTCAAGGTAAATTAGAGGTAATTGCCCTACCCTGAGTGGCTGCTTTCTGTTTCATCTAATGGGGTAGAAGGAAGTATTTCTTGGGGGCCATGTGCATATTCCTGAATCTGAAGTTTTAGCAAGAAACTTCATTCCTATAAAATTTTGAAAGCACTTGACCCAGTTCTCATCTTTATCACAAGAGAACGGGTTTATCATGGGTTGTTGATGCAAAACAATCTTTGAGCTAAGTCTGTTTTAGAGGCTTATGTTAAGTGCTGAAGCTACAAAGATGTGGCATTTGGATACTTCAGCCTTCAATGTGTTCCTGCTTACAAATACCTGTAAAGGTGTGCAAGTGCTGATACGGCCTTTTGAGCCAGAGGGGAAGACAGGAAGAGAAGAGTTTAAAAAAGTAAGGTTATGGAATTGGATCCAGATGTTTCAGCTTTCTGATGGCTCCATAATTGTTGGAGAATGTCTAGCACAAGGGTGTAAGGGCCTGTTCTTGTCCCTATTTTATTATTTATATCATGTCAATCAGGGGAAGTAAAAGGCTGGGGAAACAGCCAGAGCTGGCAGGAGCTGCCACTTGAGGTTCTGAGAGCGGGTGGAGGGGATCTCCCTGTGGGTGGATCAGAGATGTTAGTCATTGTGCCCTGTGCCAGGTGAGGGACCCAGCTGGGAGCTGCTGCTGCTCCTGCTGTTGTGCTGCGGGCCCGGAGCAGAGGCAGCAGTGCCACAGCCCAGCTGAGCGGGCTGAGCCCTGCGCTCGGCGCTGCGCCTGCACCGCTGGGCACGCCGTGCTCCGGTGCCTAATGGCAGCGCTAAGGAGATAGCTACCGAACCAAGTGGTCTTTCAGGCAGCATCTGCTTCTCCACTGCATTTCTTACTTAAACATGAAGGCCTGCATAAAGCAAGCAAGCAACAAAACCAAAAGAATCAAAAGAAAACTATAAAACAAAAGCAACCAAAACAAGCAACTAACCACAGAAGAAAGCCATCAAACTTTCTCTTACAGGGTATCTTAAATTTTCTCTTTTTTTTTTTTGTGATTGTAAATGGAAATTTTTTAGCTAGTGTCCTTTTTATCATCACAGACTTTATAAGGATACTAACTTAATATTTGCTGTGACAATCTCAGTTATTTTAAAAACCATATTTTTATTTCCAAAATTAATTTGATTGTCTCTACCTAAGATCTCAAGCAGTCTTGCTCAAGTACTGCTGGTCAGCTGATCAAAACTATTGATACAAAATCCTGGTTGAGACAGTTCTTTCACTTTGTGGGGGAAAAAAATCCATAGCATTTGCTCCTTCTAGTTTTTGCTGCTCCTGCCAGTGCTGCTGCATAGGCCAGCAAGAGCAGCTAAAGCATGAGTCATCCTCTTGGGAGACTGAGCACCAATGCGGTACAGAGTCGCATATGCTTGGCACCATGCTGTTCTTTGAAACAGTTCTCCTAATGCTTACAAGAAATGTACACCTTTGTAGAGGTTAATTCAGGGTGGCAGAGCAGTGTTTTAAACGAGGCTTCAGTGGTTATTCAAGGTAAACAATTCGTGACAAAGAAGTAATTATACTATGCAAATGAAATAAGTCTTGCAATGTCTAGACATAATGTGTTCATTCCTTTTTTTTTTTGTCATCATTGTGAAATCTACCGAGCCAAATTTCTTAGGATAATTTAAAGATCCAATTTTTTGTTTCTCTTTACAGCTGGATCAGTTGGCTGTAGATGCTGCAAAGGAGAAGAGAGATATGGAGCAAAAGCACTCCACTATTCAACAAAAGGTACTTCACAGAATGTAAAAGGCAGGCTGCACGTGCTTTTTTTTATCTGTAGCATCTCTCCCCATCATCTCTGCATCAGAACTATGAGGGATGGTATTTTTAGTGCAGAGACAGACTGATATGTCATTAAGTGTAAGGTTGGATTGCAGATACTAATTTTGTGTTACTGAACAAAATATTATGCTTAGTTTTTACTGAAATATAAATAGAACAACAGGATTTATTTGAATGCTTGGATTCTAGCATTTCAGTAGCACTCCTAATTCCTTTTACCTCTTGAATTGAATAAGCTGTACAGGTTTCTGTTTTCTATGCTGTGTGTTTGTAGAAGAGGTCTATGTGCTGCACAGCCCTACAGCCATAAGTTTCACTTTGGACTCTGCCAAATCCAAGTGCAGCACTTGGAGCTTGTGTGGCAGCTACTGTTCATATGAAGAGCAAAAGTAAACTTTTGTAAAGAGTGTCTAATGTGCTGGTTCACCTGTGCACAGATATGAAATTGAGAAAGTTTAATTAGTGTTTTGGGGAAGATTTGTGCAATAATTCTTTTTACTTCTTGAGAAAAATTTAGGTAATTCATGTTGGGAGAATGACTTCTGTTGTTTGGATGTTTCAGAAGCTCTAGATCAGTATTGGTTTCATGGGTATAACACTAGAAATTAAAAATATTTCTACTGAACTCTCTGGTAGTGAGCTACAGGCACTTTTGAAAGGTATTAGATACCAGTTTAAAGATAATGCTGTATTTCTTACTCTCATTCAGATATGTTCTGGAAATGTTCAGGTGACATAAATTTTAAAAAAATCCCACCCAATATAAATGAAATCTGATAACTGAATAAATTAAGGAATGAAAACATGCTGAGATTATAAGTTGGGTCACCTTAGTATGACCTAATATTAATACTAATGGGAAAAATATAGCATATTTGGTTGCTGAAAACATTTTTATCAGTGCATCTTGTCATCCTTTTAGGAGTTGGTGGAAAGCATTAGGATTGCTGTGAAATTGAGCAGATGTGATGACGAGGGTAGAGCTGACATGCTGTGCTTGGAGTCAGGAGATAACTACAGGCAAGGAAGGGGAAGAAAGGGGAGAAATAGGAAAGATGGGACTGGAGAATTAATGTGGAAGGTCAAATTTTAAGTTTTTTGGTCTTGAAAGCTCAGTTTCAGGAATGTACATTAGTTGAGAGGTTCTCTGTTAAGAGAGCAGTGGTGCTTGCTGAAGGATGTAAGTTATGAGCAATAACTTTATCTTTTAATTAGCCATAGAAATAATAACTAGTTACCTTGAATTATGGTCACTGCTGTTGCCAATGGTGTTTACAGTCTTTGTTTTTTCTTCAAATGCTGCTTAAGGCTGCTTTACAGGTAAACTACTTCTACTAGTTTCAATTATTACTGAAACTTTTTAAACTTCATGAAACTCTATAAGCCATATCTGTGTGTAATAAATATTCTTGATTTCTAGTAGGAGTGATAAGCACAATGCTGTTACTTTTATTGTTGCTTTGACAACAATAAAAGTAAACTTTAACAATTTATTGCTGTCTCTAAAATATAATCAGGGCAGTCAGAATGTACTGTGTGTTGTCCTCCTAAGTTTTGTGTTTTGAGTTGTGTTGTCTCCTGTCCTTATCAGTGAAGTCACTGTCGCATTTTGTGCTGATAATGTCTAGACTGTGCTTTATTGGAGATTCCTCTTACAGCTTGTCCAATCATGTTCTTAGTTTCTTATTCAAATCATGTTGTCTGTTTTTGTCTGCTCCTACTTGCTTTTCCCAATCTTCATGCCAAGTTAGCTTCCAGCTCATCAGGATTTCAGAACTGCCTTAGACTCTAGATCTTTTTATCACTTCTTGTCATCTGGTCACCCTGTTCCAGATGACAACTTTATTCCCCATTCTCTTCTCATGTCTTGTCATGTTGCTTTCCACTATGTTTCCAAATCTTCCAATGCCAAATCCTTCCATGTTTTTTAACAACTGAAACTTCTGAAGCTTATTGTGTTGAATATTCCATGAGGTATATATGTATTTAATATACTGAAGTTCTAATCTAATGCTTCAGAATGATGCCTTTCCTTCATTGTGTGGATAAAGAACAGTTCCTTTTCTGAAATGTATAGGTAAGTGCATACGTGCACACACCTACCCACCTACTACCTGTGTTTGCATATATGTGCATATGCATGCAGAATAATTGCACTAATTAAATAACCCATCTCACTTTTCTGTATAATCATTGTCCTACTTAATTAGGCTGTTGATGGAGAGGCTATTAAAAGTGTCATGGAAGGGCTTGGTCACCAATACAGTGTGATTTCTTTTTTAGCAGAGCTGGTAATCTGATTTACTTTTTTTAATTGCTTATAAGCTTTATGGTCTATTTACTCAGCAAATGTGCAGGAAAAATTTTTCTTAACTTTATTTTTTTCAGTGTAAGAAAATATTTTTCTGTAGTAAACAGGAGCAACACATGCTGTGAATTAATGTAGAAATTTCATGATCATTCTGGGAATTTTTTGCAATATATTTTTATAAGGAAAGATTAATATTAAAAGAGGGGTGTCACAATGTCAATACATTAGACATAACTCCTGTTTTCTGAGCAGTTTGCAGCTCATTGATGTAGCAACATGTTTAACTAAGAAATATTTTAAAAATCAGTTGCACCTGCAAACAGCTTCATGGCTTTTTGGTGTTTTGTCAGACTTAATATTTTGTTCTGAAATGAGGGAGATGATACAGGAAAAGTATTTGCATTGAAATTCAGATAGTTTTTGTTGTATTCAAATCCCTTTTCCATTAAAGTAAAAATCTGCTTCCAAAGGAGATCTCAGGAAACAGCTGGAGTGAGAATGATTTGAAAATTTTTAACATCTCGAGTAAACAAGGTGATAGGAAACCAGCTGTTACCACAATCACAAAGTAAGCATAAACCAGAGCCTCTGTTGAAAAGTTGTACATCCTACCTCCTGTCTCCAAAACCAAAGATGTGCTTGTATTTCAAGTGACTTGTTTGCTCAATGACAATCTTGCATTCTCTCCCTCTGTCTTGGACTATAAATCTTGTTACTGGTGGTGTCTGTTGTTTTAAACCCTTCCTCAAGGGACTTTTCTGCTTAAGCATGACAAACATCTCTTGCCAATGGAAAGGGAATGGGAGCAGCTTTCTAAATGGGGATTTTGCACAATTAGTTTCTCCTGTTTACTATATGCTGGCCTAATTTTTCAGGTTAGTGTTTTCTTTAGTACTTATGCTCTCCCATTTACTGCCTTTTTAAAAAAACTTCAAAAATGCTGATTCTCTAAGTAAAAGATAATTTGGGTTACATTGGATAAAAATAAAAGTAAAAAAGTAAAGAAGTAAAAAATAAATTGGTTGCATGTTAAATGTTAAAATATAGTTCCTAAGATACTGGTAAAATGCTTTGAATAGCTTTCATGGCCTGATAGCAATTTTGAAAGTAAATCAAAAGCTCTGCTGCTGAAAAGTAATGGAGGGTTTTGTTTTGGGAACAAGAAAATCATACATGGAGAAAAAGAAAACATGCTCTGGAATAAATCAAGTATGTGTGATGAATTGATACGTTCATACGAGAATGCATTCACTGAAACACTGTCAAGAATATTAAGTGTTCTGTGACACACCAGATTAGTATTATTTCTGGAGATGAAAGTTGTTTTTCCATTGCCAGCTGGTTTGCTGTACCCTATAGACATTTAAAGAAAAAGGGGCAAAGAAAAGGCATGAAAGCATGCTGTATGCTTCACTTACATAACCCATTTCTACGTGTTTCTCTTCCAGTAGCAGCCAACCGTGAAAAATCAGTGTCAGAAGAGAAGCCATAGATGTTTATTCTTTCAAAACTGAATGAAATGTGTGATGTAGCACTTCAGTAAAAATTACATAATACTGGCTAATTTTTTAAAAATTCTGGTTAGGTGAAGTCTACTTTAGTCCTAACTGACACCTAATTAGTTTAATTATGTTTAAAATGAAGTCTTTCTCAGTTGTGTGCCTGCTGGTAGAATACACAATTCTGAATCACATACAGTGACTGAGTTTATTAACATGTGATTCTCTTATGCAGGACACTGGAAAGATATGGGTGGATTTTTCTCCACCCCAGATTATTTTTCATGATTCATTAAACTTTTCCATGCACAAAGATAAAAATAAACTATAATGTGACTGCTTTGGTCCTATTTTTTAAATTGTAGAATAGCAGAGACTAAGATCAGAATATAGCTAATTTAACATCTTTTTCTGCTTTTATCTGTGAGTTGAAATGAGGCTTTTTTTTTTCCCTGATTGTTTTTACTGATCACAACTTTGTCAATAAAGTTTTATGGATAAAGCACATGGAAGCCTTATTCCCTCCCTGCTCCAGCTGGTAGTCTGCCATGTTCAGTTAAGGAGATATTTGACATTTGCCTCTATTACTCTGGTGTATTTTTCTGCTCTGTAAAAGTGGAATTCAATCAGAGAAGTAATTAAAAATGACACAAAATAAATTTCATGAGAAGGCTCAGTATTTTAGATAATTCTGACTGAGAGTGTGGCATGATAAATGATCCATATACACCTTCAAAGCATAGATCTGGAGTCATTGGAAAAGACAGCTGCATTTTCTGCAGCAGTTTTCCAAACCCAGAGGAAAATGTGATTACATTGGACAGAAAAGACTGAGGAAATGTGTGTTGTCTTTAACTAGACAAGGAGTTGCAGGCATCACTGAGGCAAGAAGATGCAAATTTTTAGCAGATTTCATTATGTTTGGGATCTGGTAAGTTAGAGTAATTTATCAGTTTTTGGGGAATGTAGAGAATGTGACATCAGTGTGTCTAAGTTTGTGCATAGTGGTTTTCTCCTCTTTTTATTTTGAGAGCTTACATGAAGCCTTTTATGTTCAGCATGTTCTGATCTAGAAAACAGGCAGAAAATCAAAGTTATGAATTGCTGAATTATAAATACAAAAATTTGCTTTTATTTTGGTGAAGCTTTTATTTATAACTAGTATGTTTATTCAGATCAGTGTATGGTAGTGATATGATAGTTCCATTTTCTTTCAGAACTCTTGCACTGATCGTCTGTAAATTCAATAATAAAAATCTATATTTAACCTTTCAACGTTAGGTAATCTATCCAGATTAGTAATAGATGAAAACAGTGAGTAATTGTAAGGAATTTGTGCTGTTCTGACTGGGGAGCTTGAAGGGTCCATTTGAATATTTGTAACCATTTCACTATCATGTGTAATTAACCTTGGATTGGACCAAACCATCTGCATGTATAAGAGTAAACATCATGTGTAGCACGAAAGTTGTGTGCATCCTGGGCTATTTCCTCGGGATAATGACCATGTTGGTGTTGAAGCTACTTTTTTATATATAATTCTTGCCTCTTTTCCTTTATGTATAGACAAATTCCTAAGAAGCAAAGTACAAAACAGAGACTTTCAGATATACTTTTCACACAAAGCTGATGTTAGCAATTTATGAAAAGTAACTACTGAAGTTTCAGGAAAGTCATGTTACAAAATATTCTGTCTTTTCAATATTTAACTTGTTTGGTTTTTTTCTTCCGGAATTTAATTTTCAGTAATGTGTCTCTTACACCTGTGTTAAAGGGAAGAAGCCATATGTTGCTAGTCTACTTTAAGGATATATATTTTAATAACAGTGAAATAAAATTACAGCATGTATATTATTTTCAGCTCTGGACAAAGTTGTGAGAAATTATGTCATTCCATGTGTGCTTTTTCATGCACCCCTAGTAGATGTTAGCCTCCCACTCTCTGAATATCTGAATTCTACCTCCCTGGGAAGAGCCCATGCTGTTCTCAATGAGATGTGAAAGCAAATGATTGCCACAATTATTATTAGTCTAACCTACCTTTCCTAAAGATGTGAAGCAATCAGCCTTTCTAAAGCTCAGAAAGCTGCTATTAATTGTTATTAGCTCGGCTTAGTTGTTATTAGGTTGATGGAAATACATATTCCCTTATCCTAGTTGTAATTTTGTAATCTTACCCCAAGATCTTAAAGAAAAAATTACTGCCAAGGTCTTGTTGTCAGTGCCGGCACCGTGATTGCTTTACTCCAGAGTTAACTGATAGCATCATCTTTATTTGATTACTTATCTTCTAAGTTCCTATGCAGCTCAGCTGTCAACATGACAGAGCTGAAGAAAATGCTAAAGCACAACTGACTTTATACATATCTGCAACAGGCTGCAGATGTTTCTCAGTTTTAACTCCTAACTTTCATGGCTTCTTCTTCTCCTCTGCTTTTCTATCCCCTTTCTTGGGCATATATGAGAGACCATTTGACCAGACAGTTGAAGCATCAGATGCTCTGTCAGCAATGTTTGCCCTCTATTTGGCTGTAGAGGTCACCAATACCTGAACAAGAAATTCCCCTTGTTGCAGGTAAAGTAAAAATCTTCAGCATTCTCATTGCTTAAAATTGCTTTTTAAAAAAAAGCCATCAGGGGCTGAGAGTCATGGTTTGACGAATAAGGGCTGCAAGCAAAACCTTATTCTTAGATATTTACTCTTTGACAACAGTACTGCTCATATTTGAAGTTTCATTTGAACTGCAGTGTGTTTTTCTTGTTCCTTTGTACTAGGATTATTCCAGTGATGATGCTAAACTAGAATACAATGTAGATGCAGCCAATGGCATTGTTATGGAAGGTTATTTATTCAAGCGAGCCAGCAATGCCTTCAAGACTTGGAACAGGTAATTATTCAGAACCTCTATTTGCTGCTTATAAAAATACTGCTTTTGAATCTGAATTCTCATCTGATTCATAATCTCTGTAACTCATTGAGTCCATAGTTTTGACAGAACACTGGGGTGACTCTGTTAGTTAACTTACAGATCACACTTCACAGCCATTTTTCCTTGTTTTCTGTACTAGTTATTTGCAAACCTTTCCCTTGTGAAAGCATATGCTAGGAAAGTGTTAGAAGACAGAGTAAAATAGAAGCTGTATAATCAGTGGAAGCAGAGAAACACAGTCAAGCACTCAAGTTATTTTTAATGAAAGATAAGCAATGCAATTGTTATCCTTTAAAATTCCTGTCTTGTGCAGTGACTTTTGCTTAGTGGTTTTGATGACCCTTTTGGGAATTCAAAATATATTGTTAGTCATTTATCTTTAACAATGTATATTTTACTACTATTTAAATATTTTTCTTCCTGAACAGGATTTCTTTTACATTTCCAGGGGAGTGTGCTTTTTTCAAGGAAATATATATGCTGGAGCATTTACAGTGTGGTTGGATACAGTTCTTGAATTTTAGATGTAATTGGTTGTGATAAATAGCTCTCTATTGTTGATGTTCTGCTATTTTTCCGTGTTGCCTCTGTTAAACTATTTGCTGTGTTTCAAAGGACAAAATGTGCATTTGAGTGGGTGGTCCCTTCCAATCTTACTTATTCTGTACTTCCTTGGGCATCTCAGCACACCACAAGCTTGTAAGAAATTGGGATCATTTCATTAAATCCATAGACTGATGGAAGGGCTACTGGAGTCAATAAGACTGTATCTATATTAGCAAGTCATGGGCAACTAGTACAAAGGATTTTGCTTTGGGCTGATTCTGGTCTGGTCCTTTGGCCTTATTACTCATCTGTAATTGTAATGTACTTTCTGGGTTAGTTTCATGCACACAGAATTCAGAGTTCTCCAAGATAAATCTATGAAGCATCAAAGGATGGTGAAGGGAGGAAACTGGGACATGTGTGTCAAAAGCACCTTTCTGGTGTAAAGTAAAATGTTAGTGTTATCATACTGAGAAAAATATGCAGTAATAGGGCAGGAGATTGTCCTTTATTGGATTCCCAAGGGGCTTAAAGGGTCCTTTTTGCTATTGCTGGATTGACTGATGGTGGAACTCTGAATATCAGGGCAGTGACATGCGAGAGCAGGACAGGAGTGTCTGCTTCCACATGGCTTAATTCCTAGGAATACTGTACATGTATCTTACCTTGAAGTGATTAGAGAATAGGATTCAATTAAAACTAACCTCTGTGTCTTGGTAATTTAAATGGACACAAAGTAAATAAGCAGACATTGTAATTAAATCAAGATACACAATGACATTCCTACAGATTAGGTTGCAGATTTGAACAAGTATAATAAAAGCATATCCAAGCAGTAATTTAAGAGGGCAAAGATAACCAGCTTGTTAATGAGTCAGAGCTGCCTACTTTTATTAAATAATTGATATTTACTTATAGTTTTTTCTTCTGTTTCTCACAGGAGCATTCAATAAAGCAAACCATTTAACCTTTTTAGTATTAGATCCTTGATAATTTATCTCACTGAGATAGACAAATTGGATGCTTTAAGGCAAGAAATAGGATTGGATATGCTATTTATAAACAGTTCTGAAATTGAATCAATCATTTAAATTTAGTATTCCACATATTCACAAACCATTACTAATTGCTATTAAACTACTTTTATCATATATAAAATATACATTTAAGATTTAATGAAGACAGTTTTTAATTTCTGAATCTAGTCTGCCATTTTTGCTATGTTTTAATAAAGAAATATTTTTGTTATTTCTGAATACATTTGTAGTTGCTTGCTATACTGTAGGCACAGAAGTGGTCACTGCCTGTTTCCTGTGATGGAAGATTTTACTTGTGTGTGTTACTGTTTCAGCTGTGGGGAATTGTACTGCTTGAAGTTTATTGTATATTAGAGATTATAAAGTTTTTCCTATTGCTAATTAAAGTACAAGAAAGGATTTTGTCATTGCATTAAATTGTTTTGTGTGTAAAGTTTTACAAAATACCAAAGGAGGAAACATTCAGAGAATTATGTATTTTATTTTAGGGAATTCTGAGCTGAAGTCAAGACAGACAAGATACTTACAGATTAGCAGTTTTCTCCTTTATTACATCCCCATCTTTGGGGAAGGTGGGTGGAAAATCAACCAGCTGAAGCAAAACTAGAAGAATTTGTCTAGAAATACTGGAATTTCCTGCTGTTCTGAGCTAAAGGTGACAGCACTGGTCTTCCTTGCTAACTGCTAAATGCAGTCAGTAGTAATGAGGATTTTAAATGGAGGCTTCTCTTTTACTCCCATTGGTATCAGTTGGTCTTATGTTTGTTCTAGACCTTTTTAAGAACTCCTTCAAGAGTGAATGAAAGGCACCAAAACCCATTCTAATAGCCACTATTAGCAGATACTTACCAACATTAAAATCAACAGAGAAGAGATAAGGATATGATAGGTTTTGTCTGGGTTTGACACAGCAGAATCATTCTAGCTGACAAATGAGAGAAATGTGGTGTTTCTGTGTACATGTCTTGGTCAGTGAATCCATGGACCCCATAGTGGTATTATCCTGGGAAAAGTCTGGTTGCTGGGGGGAGAGAAAAAAAAAAAGATTATAATACAGCCCTTTGAAGGGGGTAAATCTGTTGTGGTGAATAAAAATTTGTTTGCAGTCCAAACTAATGTCTTGCTAGCATAATGAAATTTCTTCCTGTGGCACCTAGCAGCTCATGTTTCATCATCTCAAGACTTTAATTATTTGGGCTTTTGCATCAAGTTTCCTTTCTTGGGACACTTCTGTGTGACACTGGCTTTAGAAACAAATAAGTGTTTGAGCAGGCTGCAAAGTAAACCCTGAGTTATTTGCAATTCAGTGTCACTATATTTTGAAAGAGATGGAGCTTTTGTAATCGCTCTTTGTTATGACTGAAAGGACATAATGCACCCAAGTATTTCAGATAATACAGTTCAGTGGAATCAAAATTATATCCTTGTACTGCAAAGTTTTAGAGTAACAGGTATGGACACCTGTGTTTAGAATGTATGTCTGTCTGTTGGTAAATGATACACGTTATTGTACACCAGGTTTCTTAAGGCATCAGGACAAGAGTTAGATGCATTTATTATGGAACAGTAGCTGGAAAGCTCTTTTGGTTCCCAGAAATTCAAATGAAAAATAAGTCCATATCACAAAGAAATAATAAATGTGTGTAGGGAGAAAAGCATTTGTCAGACCACTAGCTTGAGTCCAAATAGATTGGATGCAATAGATGTATTCCTTTTTAATTCTGCTGTATTTTCAGATCATGCTAATTCTTTTCTTATTTTGGTCATTTTGCATTTTTCATCCCTTTTCCTCCTTTCCCTTATGTTTTAATCCTACCCCATTTTTTCACATGACAGGAAAAAGCCAGATCACATCAGGTACCAACCAGCTTCTTTTATACCTTCCCAATGTTTCCGTGGCACGCAAAAAGCTCTTCATTAACCCTGCATTTAATTTTGATTACTTGCAATGGATGTGTAAGTGACTCAGTCTAAGAAAATAACAGAAGGATTCTGCCTGGGATGCCCATATACCTGCTGCTCAATTCCTTTAAAAGATTTAGAAAGATTGAGCTACTTTTTAGCTAAAAAAGGAATTAAAGCCAAGTTTCTGCACAAGATCATTGCCTTGCCTTTTCCCAATTGCTGTTGATGAGATTTTTTTTTTGTCTTATCAACTGCATTGGGAATAGACATGTACTTTTAAATGTTGTGCTTTCTTAATTACTCTGTTTTAATTGTGTGCTGGTAGCAACTAGAGGAGAAAACTGTTTCTGAGAATCACAAAGCACAATTCATTGTTTTATGTCAAACTAAAATTTTATTATTTTTTTCAGTATTACTCTCAGTTCTCAGAAATTGGACTTTTTTCTATAGATTTTTCATTGTTTCCTATTTAATAAATACAGTTTTGAATTGTGTAGGTATACATGGTGGAAAGTATTCAGTTTCTAAACAGGAACAACTGTATTTAACCACTATGAAGTAAAACAGTGTAAACTACTGTAATATTCCAAAGACTGTTTTCTCCTTCACCATACTTCTCTCTTGCTTTTGACAGAATGACACATTTAAGGAAAATTTGGTAATAGTCAGTACTTATTGCACACATGATGCCTGGAGATTTATTAAATTATTCTTAGAACCTGATAGATGTGGGTTACCCTACAGCAGCACTTTCAGTACAGAGATTGTACCTCAGAAGTTCCTGGCTGATGCTGGTATAAACCCCCAGCAGTCTGTTTGTTTCAGTAAAGTGTAGAGTTTATTGATGTTATTTGGTTAATGAGGAATAATTCCAAGTTTTTGGCCTGAATAAAGCTGCAGTGGTGCTGACACCTTGAAGGGCAGTCTGACACTTTAATCTCATTAAGAAAAAAACAAAATGTATTAACTCTGACACCTACTTCTAAATTGTGATCTACATTCTAAATTCTTGATCTCATTTGGTAAAAGTTTATTTTAGAAAAGCACTAAAACCTGTACCTTTTCTAGCTGGACGGAAATTTTTTCTTTAACAGATTTAATTTCTCTACTAGGAAAAAAAAGGGACTGAAATACTTTCAAACCTTCTAGACTAGATTTTAAAGATGGCACAAATTCGTGTTACAATTTGCGTGTTCACTTATATCCAACTGATGAGATTAGAGCTTGTTTACTAGAGTAACTCATGAAATATTTAGCTGTAGAACAAATGAAGCATTGCATTAATGAAGTTAATTGCACTTCCTAAGGCTCTTACTAGGGATTTGCTCCATTGCTCGTTGTCTTGGGGCAAGGCTGCTTTTTTTTTTCTCCTTTACCGCTCCCTTTATCACTTAGGCACCGCTTTTCATGTTGTTCTATTTTGTGTTACATTCAAAAAAAGCACATGAAAAATTACATGAGTTTATTTCCTTTTCAAGTCTGCTTTTTTGTTTAGCTTTCTATACTTATATTAGCAATAACCTGCCTTATATTTGGGGCATACTTACTGCATCTGCAAATAGATGGTAAAGATGACACCTTTTCAATAGCAGTGACTAAAACTACTGCTGTTAATAAATTTAAAAAGTCAAGAATGACAGGAGATCCTGTTGTTGCTTTTTAAATTAAATATATCTGCACAACATTTGAAAAGATTATTAAAAGGTAGAATCTCATCTGTCTATGAAACACTAACCTTTCTAATAAATACTAGTTTTTCTGGTTTGGATCTAACATTTTTTGTATATATTAATTTTTCCTAACCATCTTTGTGCACTTCTTTCCAGGAATGGCTTGTGGTGGTTGAACAAATACATGGAGCCCTCTTGTTACTAATTGTAGTAAACTGTAGCTTGAAGCTCAACAGCCTATGGAGAATAAAAAGATCTGTTGCAACACAATATTTTGTGTACTGTTACAATTCAAATTAACTGGCAGTGCAGGAAAAAGTGATGTGTGCTAAAGGTGGGGTATTGGAGATAAATGAGGAATTATGCTGTGGTAAATACACGTTTGCATTATAAGCCTGAACAAAACAAGGTGTAAATTTCACTCAATTGTCTTTTACATTCCCTTCATTTTTGTCAGTGAAAATGAAACTGTGATAATTGGTTAGCTTTTATTTTGTACATCCCTGAAGAGCTAGGAAGGCATGGTTGTATCTAATGGATTTTTTTTCATTAAGTGGTCATTGTTACAGATCTGAGAGGGTTTTTTCCTAAAATGTGAGTGCTTTTTCCATTCTCTGAGATGTATCCTGTGTGAACAGTGAGTTTGACAAGGAAGGATACAGTTCAGAGGAATTTTTAAGCATTATATTATCTTTTTAATTTTACAGGATCCCTTCATTAAATCTTTTATTTGATTTATTTGATTTTCCATCAAAACTGAGGCTTAATTTAGGATCCTACTTAAAAGGTTTTCATTGGATTTTTTTTTTTTTTAGTTTTTATATGCAGTGTTTTTATTTCAGACATGCCCAATGTAGACAGATATGAAACCTGCATGGGATAACAACACTGAAGCATTTTTACTGCTTTAGTAAGTTAGTTCTACTCCCAAAATTGTTTCAGGATTAGTTTACATGGGTTTAAGTATTTTTTTCTATTCAAACTATCTGAATTCATTTATCAAACAACTACTTAAAATTGTAACTTGCTGCTAAAATACTGAAGGAAATGTTATTTAAACTGAAAATGTTTTGTGTGATAGCTTAACTAATGTTGTCATAACATGAATGTGTTTGTTTATGACTCAAATTATTTGAACCTTGCTTTCTTTTCTGTTTTGTGTCTGCTTCCCCTTTGTTCATTATTCTCATGAAATATTTGCCAAAATTGACTGCAGTATTACTTTCCTGAATTTTTTTATGCAGTCTCTTTGTAGACTGTATGTTAGCACATCTCAGTCCCATAAGCACTGTAAAATCAGTTATGTATTCTCTGGCTGTCTCTTCATTTGAATAGGCGCTGGTTCTCAATACAAAATAACCAACTTGTGTACCAGAAGAAGTTTAAGGTAGGAGTTGAAAACTGGCTTGGGATAGTTTGGGGTTTGGGTGATGATTTTCCTGATTGATTGGGGAAACTGCTGATGTGCCTCCCGTGTGATCTTCAACAACCTACTGGTTTTTTCTAAATTAGTTTCTCCCTTTGTAAAATGAGCCTAATAGCTACACTGACAGATTCTGAGATTCCTGTGCACTGATTGTAAGCATATACTCTTTTTGCTGTGGGTTTGGTAACCTAGTTAGAGCTTTAAAAGTTGGTCCCAAAGGGCTTGTGCTTACTTGCTGGCAGTCAAATATTCCATGCTGTTCTCTGAGCAGTTGTGTTTAACTCTTTCAGGACTTGTTCCCACCAGTTACTTACTGGTTCACACACCCAATTCAGCAACTGGGGGAAAAAAAGCACAAAAGCTTGTTACAAAGCAGTCAGGGCAGCTATATACACGTAGTTAGTGTTGAAAATGCACAGTGGCTCAGCAGTCAGTATCTGCCTTGTTGCTGGTGGGAAGTGCAGCTGTTTGATGTTAAATCAGCAAGTTCAGCTCTGCCCCAAGCCATAGAAGCCTTTTCAGTCAGGTTTTGGGCCCTTGCTCCTTTGTTTGCTGTTCTAGAATCTGCTTTTACACCAAGGAGCTGTATCTGTTCTTCAGGTTGGAAAAAAAACCAGAAACTGTATGGAGATGGTGGGGAAAAAAAGAGGAAAGAGCTTCTGGCAATTAACTCCTCCTCACTGCAAACCGACTGGGATCAGAGGCTGTTCCTTGAATAATGTTTAAGTTTAATGTGTTGATTATTCAGTAGATCGGATTGTAGATCTCCAAATCCACTGAGTTCAAATTTTAGTTTTGAAGGAAAAAGTTAGTGTAACCAGGCAAATAGAATTCAATGATTAATGATTCAGGATTGAATTATTATCTTCTTATCAACTATATTATTTTTTCTCTCTGACTTTCTTGTTAACTTTTATCTCTTAGGATAATCCCACAGTAGTTGTTGAAGACTTGCGGCTCTGCACAGTTAAACACTGTGAAGACATAGAAAGACGTTTCTGTTTTGAGGTGGTTTCTCCAACAAAGTAAGGAGAAGCAATTGAGTATGTTAATTTAAAAATAAAAATCATTACATGTGGTTGCTTTAAAATGTAAGATTAATATTTCTCTTGGGATAGATCAAAACAGGGAAAGTATCTGAAAAATTCTGCTCTCTGAAATTTTGGCTGAGAGTAAGTGATGCTGTGAGAAGTGTCCCTGGTATTTAGTTTACTTTTGGCATTAAAATAAACATGCGTTCTTGTGCTTTTTGCAGAAATGGCTTGTGGTGCAGAGCTCTGCTGTGGCTTAGTAGTAGCTGATACTATCAGCTGCTTAGTAATGTAGAAAATAGGTCTCAGTTTCTCCACATTTGATTGGTGCAATGAGAGAGAAGCACATAAATAAGTTGTTGTCTCAGTGATGATAAATTATACTTCAGAATGCACTAAATGAAACTACCAAATAAAATTATTCTTCAGCTCCAGCAGTGCATGGGCTGTACTTGGGAAATTTTGGCATCCTGCCACAGCAAGGGCAGGACTTGGATTCTTCGTTAGTAATTGTGAGATGTGAAGATTATTTAAGTTTTCCATATGAGGTCAACTTGCTTTTAGGTTTGGAGGTTATCTACACTCTCCACTGCTCCTTACATTTCTCTTCTGAGTAGATTGCTGTCCATCCTGATGTTTGCATTCCCAGATGTGAGCCACAGCATTTTGCTCTTGCTTGCCTGTGCTTTTTCAACCCATAAGTATTGGAACAGCTTTATACTTCATGACTTGCTTCTTTTACTGTTGATGAGAAAAGTAGTTCATTCTTTGTCAGAGAGCTTTAAAATTACTCTGTCTTAATCTCAGTGAATGAAAGTGTGTTTTCAAGGACTGATACCTGTATCTTGTGTCATGGGTGTAAAATGCATTTGAAGGCATAAAAAAGAAAAATTTGGAGTAAGAAAGCTAAGTCATTGTCAGTGTTTCTGAAAGAGCCATTTCTGTATCTATTAGCATTACCTACAGATAATTTTGAAATAAGGAGTTTGCAGCTCACAAAGGCTCAGCTGCTTTGTTATCTTAAAATAAATGTGTTTATTGCATGATGCCTACTAAACTTGTGATAGGAAGAATCTTGCTCCATGAAAACAGACCTCTGCACAATGAGTTGTTGGATGTCAGCTGCTTGGCCACTGTCTCTGAGTACTTTGTGATTTGTCACAGGAGCTGCATGCTTCAGGCCGACTCGGAAAAGCTGCGGCAGGCATGGATTAAGGCTGTTCAGACCAGTATTGCCACAGCATATAGAGAAAAAGGGGATGAATCTGAGGTGAGTTTAACAATCCACCAAACAACAACCTCCCTTTAGATCCTGAAAATTCTAAATACATAAAGCTGTTTTTTATGAGAGAGAAGGAAAGAAACAAACCATTGTTTGTCTTCCAGTGGAAATACAATGAAATTTTGAAGTCTATGAATTGTATCTCATCTGTCTTTCACTTCATCATGTTAATATCACTATGGCCTGTATGTTTTTTTGAGATCTCTGTAGTGTGACTAAATATCATAGGATATTCTTATATTCAGTTTTATATATCTTCTAAAAACCTAAACATTTTTTTAATTCTGTGGCTTTCCTTGACCTTGGTAGAAGAGAACTTTTCTTGTATTTTAGTGTACAGTCAGTATCTGTGGGACTTTAATTTCTTTAGTTTAGCATGTCTCTTAATTGGTTTGTTTGTGTCTTATCTCTTTTAGAAACAGGAAAAGAAATCATCCCCTTCTACTGGGAGCCTAGAATCTGGGAGTGAGACAAAAGAGAAGCTGTTGAAAGGAGAGAGTGCTCTGCAGCGAGTCCAGTGCATTGCTGGTAATGCTGCCTGCTGTGACTGTGGTTTGGCAGATCCTCGCTGGGCCAGCATCAACCTGGGAATCACACTGTGCATCGAGTGCTCTGGGATACACAGGTTGGGGACACTCACAACTGCAGTTCATTTGTGCATTGGCTTAATTAGCAAGGGTGGTGTTTGCCTCTTCTAAGGTATAGTTAAAGAAAATTAGAGACCCTTGTTTGTAAATAGAATTAAGGTAACTGCTTTATTTGCATAAATTAATGGTAAATCTGTCTGAGGTAAGGTGTAACAAGTTACAAGGTAATGCTTTTTTCCATGTTGTTTAGGAGCTTGGGAGTCCACTTTTCAAAAGTAAGATCTTTAACGTTGGATTCATGGGAACCTGAACTACTAAAGGTACAGTGTTTTTGAAACAGGTTTCTCTTTGGTACTTAGATTGTTGTTCTAAAGCCTCTGCATCAGAAAGTTCAATGCAGGAAATACATTTGAACCCAGTGTATGTCTTGCAGTTTCGAGCAGAAAATGTTTATACTTGTGTGTTGGTTTATTTTAATTCATACTTTCTTATACTCCACAGTAATTTGTGCTACAAACTTGCAATTCAGAACAACTTACAACACCTTCAGGTTTCCAAGTGCACTCTGAGTAGCAAGTTTCATCTGATACTTTCAACATATAAAAAGGCAAATCTGTATACATACCAATAATGTTGTTTCAGTGGGCTGAAAGTTTTGGAAGTGATATATCAGCCTAAAGCATGATCATACTCAAAAATTTGAATGTCAGCTCTTAACAGTGAGATGTTTCTGGCCTATAGAAAAATACTCATGCAACTGCTCTTGTGTGCCAAATTTCTAGCTTGAACCATGGTTATAAAAATCATGTGACACTGAAATCCTGAAATAGGAACTCATGCATGGATGCATGTATGCAACTGGATAATTCATGCAAGCATTTGTTTCTAGCTTTGATGTCCTGGCACTTAGAAATTGCTTCTCTATTCTGAATAATTAAAAAACAACGTGTTTTGTGGTTAAATAATTTTTTATCAATGTGTGCATGCTGAGAAAACAATCAACCAACTCCCTTGCCCAGTCCAAAAAAAAAAAAAAAAGCTGTACCTCTTGTACTGTTCATGTAAATACCAGAGCTAAGTGTTCTAGTATTCTACCTGATATTAGAAACAAGAAGTCTGTTAACTGCAATCAATAGGGTTAAATTCTCCTGTAAGTAGGTTTTTGTCTCTGTTTCTTTTCCATAGTTGTATCAGATTATGGTTTAGCAAAAATGTCCATTGGGTAAGGTGGAATACAGTTGATTGAATTGTCTTTTGCTAAGGGGCTAAGAAGAGCTCCTGGCAAAGCTGATGGAAAAACACCTTTGTTAATGAGGCCTGCAGGTGTCATTCTGGTGGTTGTTTTTCCAGGTACTTTAAAAGTGACTAGATTTTTTTCTTACCTTACTCAGAATTTGGTCTTTCTATTCACTGGTTGTTTCATTATTATTGTATAAACCAATGCTTATTTCTGTAAGTGTACCTTTACCAGTGAAAACACTAAGTTGTAAATACAAGCTGAGTGAGGTTAAAAACAACTGAATACGTAGATAAAGCTTTTTGCAACTATATTTTAATTTATTCATTTTGCTTTATAGCTTATGTGTGAATTGGGAAACGATGTTATAAATAGAATATATGAAGCAAAGTTGGAAAAAGTGGGAGTAAAGAAGCCACAATCTGGAAGTCAAAGGTAGTATTTTACCAGCAGTGCCTGTTGCTTCCTTTTGTTGTTGCTTCCTTCAGCCTCCACCTGTAAAAGATGCTGCCACTTAACTGTGTTACACTCCTTTAGTGTACTCATTTTCCTGTATCCCCACTATGTCTTGCTCTCTCCCTTTTCTCACTCTCTCTCTTTATTGGGCATTCCTTCTGTTGGTCCCTTTCTGCTCCTCCTCTTCATTTGTTCTTTTTGTGGTCACACTCCCTCCTTTTGATGATAGCTCGACAGTATCACTTTGAACATGTGGGTTTTGTTTCCTCTCTGCTGGATACCAGCTCAGCCAGCTGGACTTGGTGTGGGAGTGCTCCTGGAAGGAGCCTGTGTCTGTTCCTTTTGTTTACAGTGACTTTGTTCTTCCATTTTTACCTTTTTTGCCTTTTGTTCCCTGAGCCTCAGAATGTTCTCATCTTCCTACCTACATTGTACATGAGCTCTGCTGCTTTACAGCAGCCTTCAAATCATACTACTGCTGTCTTCTATTTCTCTGATGCTAATCTGTGTTTGAAGGTAGATTCCCAATGCTTTGTGCTGCTGTATAGGCTGTCTCTTAAAACTTGCTTTTTTACTACCTTTCCAGTTCTGTGCTGCTTGCTGCCCAGCAGTTTTTTAGTATAGAAAACTGCATTTTATGCAGTGTTGGCAATTTGGAGACAGTGATGATAATATAAACAAAGTAGGAATTTGTGAGATATTTTTTCTAGTGGTAACTGCTTTTCAGCAGTTTCAGTGCAATAATTACAGCCACTTTTATCAGTTCGGAACAACTGCTGTTGTGTTTTAAACTGATAGCTTCAGGTTATGAGGAAAAATACTTCAATATGTGATATGGAACTGATTGCTGTGCCTACCTAGGACTTATTGTTTTCTTTTGTAATTTTAATGTTCCTGTAACAAATGCTGCAATTTATATTTACATTAGAAACTAAATATATGTTTATTAACAATATAAACATGTATAAAGGTTTAATGCAGGTAACATAGAGTAACTAATGCTTATTTCTTCCACATACCACTTTCTAAAGTCTCTGTCTGTAAGTAAATACATGTTTGTGAACTTAAAAAAATTACTTCCTTTTGAGCCTTATTGTAAAATTTAATCAAGAATCCTTAAAGTGACAGTGTGCTTTGCATCTTTCTGACAATGTTCTATAGGTGTGTCTTATGTGCAATGCCAAGCTACAGTTTTGGTTACTGACTTTAGTAAAAATAGATATTTTTTTAATACATGAAAATACTAAAATATTAGCTTACTAACTCCAAGAATTTTGTATATGACAGGCAGGAGAAGGAGGCATACATCAGAGCAAAATATGTGGAAAGAAAGTTTGTAGAGAAGCAAGCTGCATCAGTACCTCTGCCTGAGCCTGGAACAAAAGTTTTGCCTCAAATTCAGGAAGAGAAAAGGCACAGTGGCCCTGAAAAATCTCTTTTGGCAGGGGGACAAGGTGCAGCATCCCAAAAAGGTATTTACACACTTCTCTCCTTAGCTGTATTACCTATATTCTTTTTAAGGTAATATATTTTTATATTAATTGGCTTCTGCCTCATGCAGAGACTATGGAATCTATTTTATTAATGGGTTGTAGCCTAGTGTAGAGTGTAGGGAAGAAAAGACTTCTTCAGAGATGCAATTTTTTTTTTCACATGGGGAAGGATTTGGAATGGGGATGCTTATAACTCAGAATCATATTAACCACCTTCTTTCCTCAGTAATTTCATCCTTCTTGGTTTTTCCAATAACTTTCTTTCCTGCCCTGTCCCTTCCTTACTGCCCGCTTTGTGCTTTGCTAACCTGCATGTCCCAGCGGTTGCTGTAAGTAGCGACGAGGCGAGGCGGGAGTCTCTGTTCTGTCCTGATGAGCTTGATTCACTCTTCTCCTACTTTGATACCTCTTCAAAACTCCGTAGTAGTAAGTACTACAGCTGTGGCGTGTTCTCTGTTTGCACTAGTGATCCATTGTGTGTTGTGGCCATCTCCCTGCTTCTGTCTCTTGTCTCCAGGCTGCTGCATTGCTTAGTATTTTCATGAAATAATTTAAGCTTTTTTACTTATCCTGATTTTTTTAATTTCTAGTTATCTTTGACAGTTATTATTACTGTAAATGTTATGGTTACAAAATGTAACTTCATATTTTTCTATGAATGTTTTAAGAATACTGAATGAGAACAAGCCATTTTTTAAAAAATTATATTCAGGACCAAGTATAAGAGCTTGCTTTATTATCATGGGATCCGTGAGGAGCAGGTAGCTTCAGTTCTGCATAGTAATTACAGTTTTTCCCCAAAACAGTCCGAAGCAGTGACAGTGGGATCCAGCCAAGCACTGATGACAGCAGAGAACACCTTGCCTCTACTATATCAGCCAACAGTTTGTATGAACCAGGTGTGTTAGGCTTTGCACTGTAAGATGAAAATTTAATCACTTGGCAGCATGTTCTTTTTGTAAAACAGATTAATGCTTTGTGATACAATTCGTGTCTACTATCCTGGTTGAAATGCTTTTAGCAAGGGTAAAATTTGCCTGACCAATCTTTCTTTGGGCTTGCTACCAAAAATGACATTTAATCCTTCTAAATGGGTTCAAAGAACTATAGTTTTTTCCCAGTCAGATGAGGCTGATCCCAAATGCATGATCCTTTTATAAGTAAATAAATCCACAGAGGTAGAATTCCTCTTGAGTCACAGATAGTAGGTTTTTATGTGTTATTTGTGCATTCTTGCTTAATTTTTCTGTTTCTTATTTCTGTGGAATTGACCAAGTCTTTAAACATTGTTCCTTCAACTCAGAAATTCTATAAGTTGATGAATGAAATTATATGCTATTTTTAGCATGCTGTTCTGACAGATATATTGAGTATGGCTTCTCAAAATTTCCAAAACATTTGTTTATAAAGCAGACCTATTATTCTACATCAAACTCTTTTTTAAGGTATGTTTTAAATCCAGTAGTTCACAGGTGTTATTGCGGACAGGCAGCATGTGGCTTGGATTTTTTGTGATTATGTTGTAGAAATATTTATGATGCTGTAACTCACAAAAGCTTCTATGTAGTAACCTCTTTATCTCCCAGACTTCACTCCATATAACCATAACTGAGATGAAGAGAAAGACTGTGCATTAGTCCAAAAGATTATAGCCACAGCAAGTAATTGGTAAATGACAATGGTATCTATTAACAAAAATTAGGTCAGAATAGTATTAGCCTCATACTCTGGTGTTTCACATAAAGATACATTTGTATGACTACATCTTTGCAGAAAATGAGTTTTATTCATATGTTTCAGTTTACAATAAAACACATTCTGACCTTAAATAATTTCTTAGAAATTACATGGAATATGTAGATTGAAGTATATACAAGTGTCAGTAATGTGGAGAGAAGGTTTTCAATGCAGTAATAATTCCATGAAGAGACTGTGCCTGAACACTGGAGCTGAAGGCATCTGTGAAATTCCCCTGGCAGAATGGGGCAACAATACATAGCATTCTGCAAAAGCTGAGCTACCTATTGCCAGAGAAATGATGTTTTGATCAGATTTCCAAGAGGTACCTTATTAAAACAGGAATTAGGTAAGCAATTTTTTTTCTTTTCAGAAGGAGACAAGCAAGAGTCTCCAGTTTTCTGTGACTCCAAGCAGTCTAGTCCAGGATTGCAGTTGTATCAAGCTGCCTTTGAGAAAAATCTTCCTCACATGGCAGAAGCATTGGCTCATGGAGCTGAAGTAAATTGGGTCAACATGGAAGAAAACAAAGCAACACCACTGATTCAGGCAGTGCGAGGGGTATGTGATATACAGCACTAGTGATATGGGGGAGGAGAGCAAGGGAAATGATGATATTTCTGTGTCACTGTGAGCTGTTTGCTTCCATAATGAATGATAATGTGATGCTGAAATTATGCTTACAGTGTTCTTTCAGAGTTGTTTCTGGAATATTTTTTCTTGTTAATGCTTTGTTTGGAATTCTATGTCTAGTAGAATGTTTATGAATTCTGTGTTTAAAGTTGGAAGCAACTCCCTTTTGTTTCATTTACTGGGTGGCTCAGTGGTGAGAAGGCAGAAAAGGTTTGGTTTGATTCTAGAGATCTGGTGCTGAGTTGTTTCTTTGTTTTGATTCCATAGGGTTCACTGGTTACTTGTGAATTTTTGCTGCAGAATGGGGCCAACGTGAACATCAGAGACATGAAAGGAAGGGGGCCCCTGCACCATGCCACAGTTCTAGGACACACTGGGTAACTCACTGCCCCACAGTTTGTACATGGCCATCCTTTACTGTAGTTGTTCATGGGAAGCTTCTTCATGGCCCCAGATATTCTGACATTTTAGTACTATTTCAGGTGATACAAGTTTTTCTCAAGCTCTAGTTGTGAGAAAGGAAATAATATTTTGATTTAGCAGTCTCATCCAATAGCAAAACATATGTGTTTTCTCACGTGGGTTAAAGAAATTGTTTGCTTACTACCCTGTTAACATGTTCTAGATGAACTGCACTATTTTGATATATATGAGACTTTTGATGATTTAGGCTAAATACATTGTATCTAGCTTAACTTTATTAGCTTTCTTCCTTTATTGTCAAAAATATTCTTCAATTTTTTTTTTCTAAACAGACAAGTGTGCTTATTCCTAAAACGAGGAGCAAACCAGCATGCCACTGATGAAGACGGGAAAGATCCATTGAGTATAGCAGTGGAAGCTGCAAATGCAGATATTGTTACACTGTAAGTTGTACATTCTGTTTTCTGACTTGGTAACTTATATTTTCCTATTCTGTTTCAAGTTAAAAATAAAAGAAATGTCAAAGTTCCTGTACATAAAAACAGGGAGAACAAAAGAAAAGTCAAAATACTCTATCTGTAGATGACCTCTTTGATGTGAGATTCGGGAGAGTGTTGCAGGTCTTGCATTGTAGTCTTTTTTGTGCTTTAAAGATGATGTTGTTCCTTTTGTTTTCTGAATGGCAGGTTGCGTTTAGCAAGGATGAATGAAGAAATGCGTGAATCAGAAGGACTCTATGGGCAGCCAGGTCAATACTCTTCTAATAACCACACTGAAATGCAGTATAAGAAGTGTATACAGGAATTTATCAGTTTGCAATTAGATTCTTAGTGTCTGAGGGAAATTTAAGATTGCTTCATACAATAATGTTTTTTATAAACCAACACATTCTAAAGCTTCATAGAAATTCAGTGGTGTGACTTCATCAGAGTACTTAGGGAACCTAAAAGGAGACTGTTTAAAGAGCATCCTTATAGCAGTGTGTTACTACAGCCATGACCACCCTATTTTGCTAGTAGCTGTCCACAGTTTTCTCCTATTGCTGTTCCATTGACATTTGTGTCATGTTAGGATTTACCTGACATTGTTTAGTAGCAGCTTTTTGACTCAGCTTGCTTAGAGACTGTTGAAGAGTTCATCTTATTCCAGGACACCATTCTCCTTCCTGTGGAATGGTCTGCTTTTTCTTTTTTAAGAAAAAAATGCTTGCACACCAGTGTAAAAAATGTACATCAGATATTTCAAACTGCCTCCAGACAAAAATAGGAAAGTATTATTTCCTTAAATTTTATTTTTAAATATTTTTATTTGTTAAGATACTAATAAGAAACAAAGCAGTCATTCTTAACTATGTATTTTTGTATGCAGAGTTTCTTTCTGTTTGGTTAAAAAAAAATAGAAGCTGGCAGATACTTGAGCCAACTCCAGCAAGAAAGTAACAAATTACATTTAATGCATATGTGCAACTTTATTCTCAGGCACTCAGATCTAATTTAAACCATGTTCTGATGTGATATTTGCTTCCATAGGAAGGTAATTTAATATCATGCAAGTACCAATAATGAAGGCACTCTTGATTGTGAAGTTAGACAGCTAAAAATACCCTGCTATTCCTGGCAGAAGTGAAAGGTGAACCTTATTTTTCAGGTTGAGTGCTGGGTACTCAGTTCACTCCTATAAAGCCCTCATGTGTTTTCCACTGACTCATGAGGATTGGGCAGGGGGGATGTTACCAGATTGGAGCTGTAGAATCTAGAGACTGCAGCTGATGCAATCTGATCCAGATACTTTACAGCTGGTAAGGTGAGATTGACAGTAAAGAGTAGATTTGCCACAACAGGCAGAGCTTGACCAAAATCAGGGGCAGGCTTTCATTAGAGTAACTTCTGAAATTAATGCCACAAGCTGGAGCACAGAGTCTCAGCCAGAGAACTTTCGGTATCTTCGGATAGCACAGCTCTGCACCCTTGTTGAAGTTTCTTTTAAAAGTTGGAGTTAATATTTGAGTGTTTTGAATGCTTTTTCTGCTATAGAAGGGTTGTGTCAGTGTAAGAACCTGTCTGCTGTCATGAGGTGTCACACCTTTCTGTGGTTTTAAGGGATGCAGGTCTTTTTCATTGCTTATACATGTTAATTTACCTGCACTGCCCTTACTTTAGAACTCCAGTGTTCCAAAATTATGATTCTAGAAGAAAATAAGGATTTGCAAGATAATTGTATATTTGCTGGTAGCTGTGTGAGGGTAAATATCATTGTATGAATTGGTTGTCATCAGAGTGAAGCCAACTGCCTACTTCCCAGCTCTGGCAATGCAGCTGATAAACAATTGCTCATGTAGCTAATGGCATCAAAATTTATAATTTAAATATATATGGCTGGTTTGAGCTACTGAGAGAATGGATATATTGCTTTGCAAAGTACAGTTGGTCTTCCAAAACATTCCTGGAATGGGAACTAGCTGAAACCAGCTTTAAAAAGTTATTTCTGGTGTAGAAGCCATATTACACCATGGTACTGTTTCTGTATAATACTTGAGTGCTCATCTCCTGGTGCTACACTATGTCTTGCTAACTCTTTGATATTAGCATTGCTACTTTTTCTTCCTACCTTTTCTTGAATGTATGATGTGTGCCTTTTGAGTTACTCTGGTGTGAAATGGTAAAGCAGTGTTACAGTATTTTTGTACATATAAGCTGCACTTTAGGGAAAACATTGCTTGGAACGGGAACTTCCAGAATTCAATTTTAAAGTAGAATTTAAAAATAATTATAAGGTTTACAGTATTAAGCATATTAATGCAATGTACAAACTAAAGGGGCACTTTATTTTAGTCTATTTTTGTATGTAACATTTTTGTTATGTAATAGAGACAAAGCTAGAGCCAATCTATCTTCCAAAAATAGCTTTTTCTTCTTTCAACTTAATTTGAAAGAACCAAATGTGGCAATTTGAACTGCAGTTCTCATTCACCAGTGGAGACCACTTCTGTATTAAAAGCATCATTGGCTTTTTGTCACAGAAGCCTAATTCTGCTTTTGCCCTTTGTAGCTGTTCTTTTGGTAAATGTTACAGCTCCATTCTGTGCTGGTCTCCCAGTGGAAGAAGTTCTTACCTGTCCTGTGCTTGCTTCATCTCTAGAGCACAGAATCACTGAATGGTTTGGGTTGAAAGGGACCTTAAAGATCATCTAGTTCGAACCCCCCTGCCATGAGCAGGGACACCATACTTGAAATTAAATCTGAAAACCAAAAGAGAATTTCTCTAGAACTGACTTTTCTTAATGGAGCAGTTTTGAATGTATTAATATTTTAAAGTCTGGGAAAAATTGAGTTACTGCCGTGTTAAATATTTCTGGAAGGTCAGTTATTATTTGTGAAAGTTTTTTTAAAAGAATGGAGTCTCATCTCCAAAAGAATGATAGTTTTGACATTGGAAATGTGCATTAAAAAATAGAAAAACAAAACAATGTAACTTTTCCCAGTAGTGCAAACTTTTAAGCACAACATTATTTTCTTCCACAATCATGTTAGGAAAAAAAAATCTTCATATTCAACATACAAGATGAGAGGGATTTGGGGTTGATTTCTTTGTCATGCTATTAATCAAGCTGTCAGCAAGAAACAGTAGTGCTGGGATCTTGTGTCCTGTGTGACCATTGTGTTGGGAAGACTCTAAAATTTGAATGGCTACATAGCTCCTGGCCCAACCCAATGTTTGATGCATTTAATTCCTCTTGAAGATGAAAGGGTATGGTTCATGTTTTAAAACAGAACTTGAACTCAAAGCCCAAAATTCTCCGGTAGGTGAAAAAATGTGAGAATGAATGAAAAAAAAGTCCATTTTAAAGTGGCAAAATAGTGACTTGGCAATGACTCAAGAAATAATCACTCCTGAATGTGTTTTCCTGTGTAGACAGGGAGGGGGAGGAACACATTTTGGAATATGTTTTAGTAGTAGGGTTGTGTTTAAGCACAAAGGGTGAAGATTTAAAGAAAAAGAAAAGATTTTTAGGGGAAGTATCATTGTTCTTAGAGATCAAACTGAAAAATGTAATGAAAGATGTAGATGAAGTGAATGTAGAAATTTTATTTTTGCTGAAGTAATAGACAAAAATAATTTATGTACAATAATTTATCTACGTAAGACTGCTCTTTTTAAATATATATTTTATTGCTTGCTGATTGTTTCTTTCATGAAGAATTCTGTTTGGCTGTAAGAATTCTGATCTTTGTTTCCAAGTAAATCTTTATTTATGTCATAAATCTTTTTTTCTGTAGAAAATCTTGGTTAGCATTTCCTTGCCCAAACAAGGATTATATCCTTTAACTGCTAATAAATATTTTTTCTTTTTAAGTTGCTTTAAAGTGCTTTAACTTTTCCTTTCTAACTCTGAACTTTCCTCTGTGTGGCTGCCTGTGAGGTACTATTTCAGGTATAGTTTGGCTTTGTTTAATTTGCTTCTACAGAACATGCATGCAAGTAACCAGTCTTTCAGAGTTCACATCAGCATCACTCCATCTAGAAGCAGTATTCATACATGAATTGTTATGCAGTAATTGATAGCACAGTAGGGCATTTGTGCAATGGTGGGTGATGTTGACTATTACAAATGTTTAAAACTGTTTCTCTTCTCTTTTCTGTCTAGGAGATGAAATTTATCAGGACATTTTTCGTGACTTTTCTCAAATGGCATCAAATAATCCAGAGAAGTTAAACCGCTTCCAGCAGTCAGATTCCCAGAAGTCTTAAGTGTCAAGAAGGAAAAGAACCTGAAGCTTATAGTGCAAGTCTTTTTTTACTTTAACAGAATGAATTGTATGCATTTTGTTAGATAGTTTGGATAAAATGACCACTCCAATGTAGCTTTAGATTGTGGTAGCTGGGGAAGTGTATGAGTTGGTTTATGTTCTACAGTACATATACCTCAGCAGCTGAAGATGTTTCAAAGCCTGAGTCCCTGCTAGCTGAGTGCAAAGCAGCCCCTGTTCCACGCCCAGCATTTGCAGCTCGCACTCGGGGGTGGCAGAGCACGGCTGGAGCGCTGTGGGCTCTGAGCACAGGGTGGTCACAGCAGCTTTGCCACCCAGGGTCATCGACTGCCCTCTGTCCCCTGTCACCATAAAGAATGTGCCTCTGACAAGAAGGTCTGGGTTGCATTTTCTGGGACTGTTTGGAAGGGAATTTGGGTAATGATTTACTGAGTTGTCCTTCCATTTGTGGGACTGCAGCTCAACAGATTCTCTTGTTCCTGCGGTGGCTCTGGTTGGAGGTAGGCTGTAACAGATGTGATAGCTCCTGCTCTTCTGCAAGCTCTTTCACACTGGGAGCTCTAGCACCAGGCTGGCCTTTATGCTGGTGACTGCAGGTCAGTCGCAAAGGGATATATCCTGGGGACCAAATTCCTAAGAGCAGACTATTTTCCTTTTTTTTCTTTTCCTCTTAAACTTCCAGTGCAGCAAGTATCCTTCTAAATGAGCATGTGGAACCTTTCATGAAAAATAAACAATCCTTTTGGACATGATATGGGGTTTGTTTGTAGTATTTTGACATGAAAACTTGAAATTTGAGACATGAAAGTAAATGTTGAGCCAACAAAGTTTGTGTAGAATAGTTGTAGAAAGGCTGTTTCTACTTTTTGCTGTTCTCATTACAGGCCCTAAGCTTAGTATAAAAGTCTCGTGTCTTGCAGCCACACTAAGTTTAGGGCAATCAAGCCTTTGTATTAGGAAGCAGTAGCCCTTGTATAATTTTCAAGGATGTTTGTGTTGTCTAAACTTAGGTGAGCACAAGAAAAACTAGAATTTCAATGCACATTTCTGTCAATGAATGATCACAGTCTACAACTGTGTTGTGAGGGCACAACAATTTGCTTTATGCAAAGACAATTTGCTTTATGTAGTTGTGAGCCCCACTCTGCCCTTGTGCATGTATAAATGGTGTCTCTAGATATATGCTTATATATCAGATTATTTATACCTAGATAATAATCCTCCTAAACCTCAAATCAGCAGATGCAATTCTTTATCCTCTTCTTTGTTTACCCTATGGAGACAACTTAAACAGAGTTTTTAGGTGACACAGTACCAATGTGAGTTTTCAGTAATCAGTTTTCAGTAATTCTGAAAGCTGTGGCATTATGTTGACCTGCTGTTTAAGTGTATTTAGGAAATTAATTGGCTTTTCTCCATGGAAAGATAAGCAAAACTGGGATAAAACAAATTGAAATCTGTAAACTATGGTAACGTTAAACTTTCTGGCATGTTGAGTTTTAAGAAGTATTTCAAACATTTATAATTCTGAATCAAATGTGTAATAGTCTGCATATTATTATTGCTACAAAATTAGTAGTGTTGTAGAATTGTCCAGTGGATTTTATTTCCAAGCAGAATAATCTTACAAGACAGTTCTTGCTTTGTATGTGGTCTAATTATGGTAGGAAAAGCAAATTTTGCCCATTTAAAGTGCACATTTAGTCTGAATAAAAAGAAACTTAAGGATATCACCTGTAAGCAGTAATTTTTAGTAAGTTGGTTTTTAGATAGCTGCCTATGAATTGATAATATACTTCCTAATCAGCAGTATTTACGAGCAAATGGGTGTTTTAGTAGATCTTGGAGAAAGTAAGACTCCTGGTGTACAGATGGGACCATGTGACAATATAACTGCATAATATCCACCTTAGACATAGGTTTTTCTAAATGTTTGTTTTTCTCAGCCTGGCTGGCAGGCAGTGTGTAGTGTGATTGGCTGGAATGTAAAGCTGCCTAAAGCTTAGTGGCATAATTGCTGTCTCAGTCCAGGCTGCTGGAGATCTTCACTGGCCACAAAACCTCTGTGACAAATTCTCCAGGATGACTTCTCTAGACTAAGAAGTTGCTTCCCTGTAGCTCTACACATTATGTATTCTGTTCCCGACTCTCATCTGTCTGGGAAACAGTATCGGTCTCTGTGCTAAAGGATGAATCCCACCTGACTGACAGCTGGTGTGACTCATCAGGAGCACTGGAGTTTTAATGGCTTAGGGAGTAGCTGTGTAACTTGTGATCTTCAGCCTTGTTCCCCTGTCCTTTTGGGTATGATAGGATGTCCAGTATAAACTGCACTCAATTAAAGCCTTTTTCAGGTCAGGTGCAATGGTAACATGTTGCTTATCGGCAGAAATGAATGTACCATTAAATTTGATGGCTCAGTGTCACCAGGCTCTGGTAGGCTCTGTGTTCTAGGTCCTCTGCGACTCACAGGTTTCAGCCCTCAATAGTGTGATTAACACCACAGCTCTGAAGATCTGGATTCCATATCGAGTTTTGACTCATGTTAATATTCTGCTCAGTAATGTTAGGAAACTTCTATTTCTATTCCAAGGGGAATCTAAGTGAAATAGTAGATAGTAAGGTTCCATTGTGGGTTAACATCTTGTACTTTGTACCAGACAATAGAAAGGTTCAATTCCAGTTCATGTTTCTCTGTAGGTATGAAATACAGTAGTGCGGGACAAAGCAGAAGATCCCCAGCACATTTTAAAACCATTCTTCATATGGATTTTTAGTAATTTTCTATATTAGCCCATTGAAGGATAGTATAATATCTTTCCTATGTGTTCCAAAAGTCTCTTGGAACAACAAATGTTGAGGAATTCAACTTACATTCTAATTCATCTTGATTTCAGAGGTGTAATGTATGTCCATTGCATATTGATTAAAGTAGTGTCTGTGGTGGCTCATTAATAGTATCAATTGTTTTGACTGTTCATAAGGTTTCATGTTTTATGTTAGTGTCAGTACATTGCATACAAACTTAAATTTCTGAATTATCATATTGAATTATGCCACTGTCTGTGCTAGAGAGTTGGAATTTGTTTACATTAATTTGGATGAAGGTGTATTTGGATTGTAGAGGTATTTCTTCGCCTTCACAAACAGCCCACATTGCAATCAGATGGATGTGTGTTCCAGGTGCTCATTAGTGCATTGTGGACTTCAGCCCCTCTGTCCATTAGGACCTGATCCAGGAAGTCGCTGATATCAGTGGCAGTCTTTCCACTGATTTTTGAGATTATGGATTATACCATTTGGGGCTTTTAATGTTAGACTGCTAAAGGATCCTGTATTAATACTGCATTTTTTGCTCTGTGGGGTTTTATATTTTACCTGTTTGTATACTGAGCTGAAATAGTTTTAGAAAATGCAACCAGACCTTCCAACTGCTGTCAGCAAATCCCTGTACAAGAGGAAGTTTCTCCTGTTTTGCATTATGGCATCAGTACACGTGTTGTCCAAATTACTAGGTCTCCTGGATAGAGCATAAACTTTGTAGCACTAAACTAAAAGGGTGAGAACTAGAACGAGCGGAGGGTTGAGGTCATGTTTCCAGGACTTCGGTGCTTCTGTGCAGCCATCTGTTTTAAATTGTGGATGTTACCTCTGCTGCTTCAATTTGATAATCTCAAATTACACAGTGACTATAACATGACCCTTTGATGAAACTGCAAATAATATATAAGTACAAAGGACATGATATTTTTACAGTGTCAGAAGGACTTAGCTAATTATTCTGATTCTTCAACACACAAAGTATTTTGAGAATCAATTTTTCAGGCTACAGTCTGCCCCATTCATTATGGACACTTTTTCCCAAGTTGGAGTTTATGGCTTGTGCAGTCTGACAACCAACATGCCTTGCTCCCGTGCTTACACAGCGGCACAGTTTTAAAACAGGGTCAACTCTGGAGAGGCACTACTGGGGAAAAGGATGAGTGTACCACTTTGGTATATAACCTTTCATATGCTTGCTTTATCTTTCTGCATACAGTATTTTCTTGTTTCTCTTCCCATGGAAGGAGATGATAGAGGAGGAAAAATTCCACTCACTTTTCTGTTAGGAGCCTAAGTTTTCCGCGTTTTGACAGAAATCGCCAAGAAATCATCGTTTCCTCAAGCAGAGACGTTACTTTCTCCAAAATAATGAACTTTTTTTTTTTCTCCGCGCCTTCCTCTGTACTCGGTGTTTTTCAAGCATTCCAGCAGTAAAATGTAAAAAACCCCTCCCCTTAAGCTGTAATTGTACAGACTGTATACCTCGCCCTCCTTCGCGTTATGTACGGCTGTAGACTTTGTATCTAAACTTGGCTGCGGTGTGTGTGGTGTGTCATCGCGCGGGCCGGCCCGGCGGCGGCCCCGCCCTGCTGCGGGCGGGCCGGGCGCGGTGCCGCCCCGCCATGGCGGCGCTGCGGGGCTCGGCGCGCCGGGGCTGCCCGCGCTGCCCGCAGCCCGCGGCCCTGGCGGCGGCCGCGGCCGTGGCCGTCTGCGCCTTCTACTACCTGGGCGGCGGCGGCGAGACCTTCTCCAGCGCCACCCGCCGCCTGCGCGCCACGCCGCCCGCCCCGGCGGGCCCGGGGCCCCGCGGGCTGCACCTCCTGTTGATGTTCACCAAGGCGGAGCGCAGCCCCGCGCTCCGCGACAAGGCGCAGGCGGCGCTGCGCTCGCTGCTGCGGCACGGCCGCCTGGGCGCCGCCGACGTGCTGCACCTCCACCTCGTCACCGAGGGCGCCAGCCGCGACATCGGGCTCGGGCTGCTGCGGGACCTGCTGCGCGGCGCCGCCTTCCGCCACCAGGTGCGCGGGGGCCGAGGGGCGGGCCGGGCCCGCGGGGAGCGAGCGGGGTCTGCCCGCGTGTCCCGGGTGCTCTTCCCGCTGGGAACCGCAGGCCGGCGGGAAGGAGTCCCTCAACCAGCGGCCCTGTGCGGCTCCCAGCAGAGCAGCTCGCTCCCGCTCTCTGCTGGAGCAGCGCCCCCTGCTCCGGTCCCGGGAGTCTTGCGGGGCTCGTTCAGTGTCCCCGCCGCTGCTGCCTCCGGGGAGCTGGCCTGGTGC